AGGATTTAGAGGCTTTGGGGAGAGAGCGTGGCTGTCTAAGCCCAGGGACAGATTCGTCTCCTAAGAAAATGTGGATTTGTACATTAGATTCCTCACGACACAGCGCATCCGCCCTCGCTATTTAGAGGGGCTTTGGAGACTTATGGAAGAATCAAAAAACATCGATGAAAACAAAGACGCTTGGTCAGATAGCTCTTTTCGTGGAGCGTCTATTCATATAACTCCTTTTTGGCGCAAAAGCATCCATCCAGTGATTTATACATACTGTAGGGATATCGTCGTGCGAAAAGGCATGCATCGTTCTGTCAACTCTACGTCGTCATGTGCCTCGTAACAAATGACCATGTAAACATCAGCCCTTGTTTCCGACCGATGCTTTCTTTGTTGCCGCGACGAATTAGAACACGGTCCCATCGCTGTCAATAAGGATAGGCGGTTCCTTGGTATTCGGTCGGTTGATCTCGGCGATTTCGCGACCCCCCTAGCCAATGCTTGATTAGCAACGTTGGGCATTGGTGAACAAGACAATGGTAAACTCACCTTCCAACTGCCCGCTTCTAGGAGCTGGGGCAGAGTCATCTCATTACCAGCCAGTTCGGTTTTGAGATACTTATTGACTTCCAGGCAAAGCAAATCAAGTAGACCGACCGTCACGCCGCGCCATTCAACCACCACGTCGTCGCTAGGCTCGAACATGGGGGCTACTTCCACCCCGTTATGGCCGGTCCGGCGACAATAATCGGCGTAGTTTTGGAGGCCGCGCTCCGTGTCATCCTTTTTCAAATTCAGCACACCAAGGTCTACAAACAGCCCACCGTTGCGATACTCGGGCAAACCGGTCAGTAATTCGGTGCCAGCGAAGTGCATGTTCAGGAGCGATCGCATTGGCTGCATGAGAGAGTACGTGAGCCACTGGGTGAGCTTGTGGAACGGCAAGATGGATTCCCAAGATGCGGCACCAGGGTTGGGCATGGCCTGGCAAGGCCATGCATCTCCAAGTGATACACCATTTAGGGCAGTTCGCGACGGGGGCCAGATAGGTGCCAGGCCGTTCATTAGGACGTTCCATAGTACTGGCAATGGTACAATTAACATGGAAGATGCCTGTGTTGAGGGGTGTGAGAGCAAGTGGTCTGAAACATCAGGTCAGCGCGTTATGCGATGAAACCATGCATCGCTAGAATCATACCGATCATATTCCCAGGCCTGCCATCTGAGCCAAAGTACTCAGCTTTATCTCCGAGAGCACCGGCAAGTCGAATAAGGAGCTCGCTGCGACCCTCCAAGCCAGCTAGTTCGCTGCCGGGGCGCGACTGAAGCCCAGCTTCAAGCTTTTCCACACTCAACTTTTTGAGCCCATCTTTGTCGACTTGGAATTTGTTGCTTGCGTTTCCAGAGAAGAGACCCTTGACAATTCATCAGCTCCCACCGTCCGAGCATTCAGTTCGAAGAACTGCGGACATCCATACCTCCTTGAACATTTCCAAACTGGCGACAGCCAGCCCCTCGGATCGTCGATATATCTTTCCATTCTCCGTGCTCTTATAGCTCCACTGAGTACCAGCACCGGCATCCAACAGTACACTGACCAAGAACAGGTCAAGCAGTCGACGACAACGCTCGGTGCTGTCAACGGACTCGGGCCAGGAATCGAGCAACTCCTTTACACGATCACGACCCCCGACGCAAAAATGCTGATATCGTCCGTGTCCAGGTATGTTGTTAAAGGGCGCTTCGTAGTCTCGCTGTGGTGCATGGATGTGAGTTCAGATTTACGTTTGGACCATGTTCCCCGAGGAGAAGTTGGGAGAAATGTCATGAAAATAGTCGCCTCTGGAGAAGCAACGGAAATGAAATATATAAGGAAAAGGAGATGATACGTGCAGGGAAGTAGACTAGTAAAACTTGGATTGTAGGGTTAGACGCACCTTGATAAGACCAGAAACAAAGGTAACAACGTTGGGCAACTTGTCAAGGTCAACATCAAAATGGTGAAGTTCGTTGCGCGTCGCCTTGTCCATAATGATCTGGCTTCTCTCTCTCACAGCGCCCAAGCTCCGGAGGTATCCGACGGGGTCCAACTGGGGATCTGGAGGGCGAGGGAGATCGACTTTGGGCAGTTTGATTGGCGACATTGGCGATAGTGGCGTGCCGGCTGATGTGAAACTTCCGGCTGAGGTGCGGTTTCCGATGGCTCGTGGATTTCCAGAGGCAACGCTGGTTGTTGATTGAGAGGCTAGGATAGACGAGCTGCCCTTGGGGGGCTTGTCCTTTCGAGAAAAGAAGCCCATTATGGTTGGCTCGCTTTCTGATACGAAGGGCAGAACTCAACCAGGCACACTCGCGGGTGGCCGAAGAGGGGCAGGGTGCGGGGAGTGCTCTGTTCGGTCCAGAAGCCGCAGGTGACAAGTGACAGATGGTGCCGTGGATGCAGATGGCTGGACAGTAGCGCATTTATGCTCGGGGGGGGCTGGTGCTCCGTATTATCGCAGGAATACGTTGGCACGTCAGCCAAATATATTCAACCCAAGGCCAGTCGTTGACCGTGTCGCCAGCCAAGTAAGCTAACAGCGAACCGAATCAGGACCATACGGAGTACAGTGCCGAGCCAAATGAGCGAGCAAGACGGATGCTTTTGAGGTGGCGGCGAAGGCTCCCAGGACGCCGAGCGACGTGGGAGAGGGCAGGGTCCAGGCACCACCGCAGTGGCCGTGTTCCAAGTGTCTGTCCTACTTTAGCTGGGATGGGTGATCCACCAAGATGATTGCTTGCTGACCCAGCGGCCGTACCAAAGATTGACGCCGATTGGCGTTGAACAAGGGCGGTTTGGGGCTTAATACTCCGTACTCCGAATGGGCTTCCCCGTAGCAAGTCCCGAGCCACGTACCTTCTACGCGCCCAAGTCACGCGGAAAGTCTGCCTGGGTGAAGACTCAGGAGCGAGTGTCTCCAAGTTACACCTGTCTCAGGTCGGCCACTAGTTATGTCGCCGCTGTTGTCTAACTTGTCTACCAGTTAAGTTACTACTTAAGTAGGTTGGTTGCTGGTTACGGAGGAGGCTGCAGCGACTCCTTTCTTTGCTCGTCTGTTCGCTCGGCTGAGACGGCTGGGGTCTGGGTCGGGTCTGGTCCGTGGCAGCCCCAAGGCGCGGAGATTTGCAGAGTCGCGTCTGGTCAACTGGTCTTTTACAATTCGCTGTGGCCTGAGCAGTGAGTGGCAGCAGTTGACCTCATGCTAGCCCAAGTGGCTGCCCTAGATCTTCCTGTCGTCGGTCAGTCTCGGTCGATCAACGGTTTCCGGAAAGACATGTCGCCCTACCTATTGCCCTCGAGCCAGTCGGTGCAGTCGGTGCTTTTCGCCGTCGTTGGCGAACGGGCGGGTGTCTAGGCCGCTGCGTTATCAGTCGACGGTGGATGGCACACGACGGACACCTCGAGAAGAAGCAGAAGCGCGAGGGAAGCAAGGGTCAGCGGGTTGTGTTGTGGCCCGGACGACGTGGGTCTTTGATGAAAAGACGACTGCCCAGGCATGTACAGACAGGCCCAAAGCGCGTCTGCACGCGAAGCAAGAAACAAAGGAGTAGTTGAACTCGCAGCCTCGCTCCGTAGGCTTCCAAAGGTGTAGTGAGCAGCTGGTTGCTCCGCACGGGATCGCTTGGCGGTTGAGGGGTTCGTTCAGTCTGCCCTCGAGTGCAACAGTAGCAGACTTCTGAACGAGAGGGAGGGGACGTTTGGCAAGCGTGCATTCATTCAGGGCTGAGCAGAACCTTCAATGTTGTTGGTAGCCGACGATTTGAATGACCACTGGAGCTGCCAAAGTTGAACGGGATAACAACTTAAAGGATGCTCCACGAGTCCACGACCCACAGCCTGTGCAGGTATTCAGGCATTTGCCAATCGTTGCCCTCGCTCGGAGTACGTAGTCCATCCTCCCATCTGGACGTCTTCTTGGTCTTGACATGACATCCCAGTCCTCGCAGAAATGCACAGACCAGACAAACAGCGTCGTCGGTACATTGACATCGACCAGGATCCAGCTACCAGTATTCATCGTCCACAGAGTGCCTTGGCGTCGCTACTCCCGTCCCGGAGGGTCCCGTCCAGAGCTTGCAGCTAGGATCCCAGCGACGTGCAGCGGGAGGCGGTCGTGACTCGTGGCTCGTGGCTCGTGGCCCATTCGTACAAGCAAAAATCGGCGACTGTATTTGCGAGCATTGCTGACACTCTATTTACCAGTGTTTCGTCGCATGCGTGCCCCCGGGACCTGGCAAGGCATGCACGTCACCCTGCGTAACTTACATTCAACGCACATCGGACGGACCAGCATTCGCGAGAATCAACAAGTGTCGAGTTCGGGCTAGCCACGACGCGACGTCAACGGGGGTCATGTTGCCTCGTCGTCTTGGTCCTTGGATATCCCCGTCTTGAAAGCCCCCATTTGCCATCCCTGCCTGGCCTCAACGCCCAAGCCACCAAACAAGTCAACCCTGTCGAAGCATTCGGCTCCGCCGCAGAGTCGGTTCACACCACGTACGTGCGTACGTACATACATGGGATGACATCTGACCCATGTTACAGAGCAGTAACACGCTTGGTGCTGTGGCGGTTTACGACCTAGCAGTTCTGGCCAACTAACCACCGCTCCCAATTACGGAGTACGACTCCGACTCAACTCGGACAAAGTCATGCCGACCACAAACCCATTCAGCAGCCGTGCTCGTTGTACCCGGAGCACGAAATGAGAATGCGGACAAAACTCCCGGACCGTGTACTTACATGGCCCGCCAGAGAGACACGGGAGGAGACGGCGAGCAAATATTCCAAATTCTACTAACTAGTAGTCACTTACTAACTGCAACGGTACCGGCCGGTCCATTCTAGACCAGTCAACGACCAGACTACGGAGTAGACTCACTTCGTATGCGCAGCCTCGTGGTCGTTCACCACGATCCACTGTGCAGGGGATACAAACGCGCCACGTTGATCATTCCAGGGGTTGGTGTGCATCACCCCGCCTGACGTCAAGTCGTAATCAAACGCTTTACCAGAAAAGAGCCGGATCAGGTACGGAGTAGTAGCCTACGAGATGATTTATATTGGAATGCAGGGACGTGGTCCTTGCCCGGCATTCTACGTTTCAAGCTTGAGAAGGGGAAAACATGACCAATTTCAACGCTCTCCTCCTCGCAACAAGCAGCGCCCGGCTTACATCGCCTCCCGATCCTCCTGCGCTCTCGCAGAATTTTCAGCTCATAGCGCACGTCACGTCTCCCAACGTTACCCAGTTCACGGCCGGCATTGAAAACTGGGAGGTTGCCTCATTGCCGGGCTTCGGCTGCGACGAGCCCCTCGCGCTCAAGAGACCGAGAGGAAGCCGCACCGCCAGCGGCACGACATTTTGGTTCGACCCGGAAACAACGAGCGTCGCCTACGGCCATGGCCAAGACGTAAAGCGCCTGTTCATTCCCCAAGGAGGGCGCGGCGAACGAGCTCTAAGCATGCACTGCGCAAAGGCAACACCAGGAGTTGAAGTCGTCCCGCGCCGAGATGGGCCGCAGCTTGTTCACCGCGACAACGGGACGTTTTACGTGTGTCCAAGGAGGGTGCGTTCGCGGGCGTTGGCGCAGCTGCTGTACAGACAAGGCGACGAGTTGCTGCCGTACATGTGTGCGGATGTGGTCCTGTTCGCGAAGTGGGCAAAGGGCAGCAGCATGAGGGAAGAGTCCATGGTGGACTGCTGCACCGATGTCCGCGACGGCGTGTGCAGGTTTCCCGTCCAGCACTTCTAGACTCGCGGGTTGGAGTGATCCGCCCCGGCTCTTCGTCGTCGTCCACTGTTGGCCCTGACGAACCCTGATCGGGTGTCTTTGCTCCAAGACTTGGCGTCCTTGGTGCCGGTCAAGGGCGAGCCCGGTTCTTGATTTTCATACCTCACCTCGGTTCTTCCCCTTCTCTTCAACAATGTAACTTTCAGCTTTCTTCACACTTGCTGCCCACGTCGACCTGTCACATGGTGCTTGTTCAGCGCGGCGCCCTGCTCAGATTTCGGCCCTTCCGGCTAGTTACTTTCCCCGGCGGGGGACCTGAAGAGACTGAAAGCGGCGGAAAGGCAAGATGATTAATGGTAATAATAAGATTTGCTTCAGGCGCAGCTGGCACCGAGGCAAGCCTGGCGCGTTCACTGCCGCCGCGTCGAGTTGCCCGTCCATCCGTGTTGGTGTTGCCCTGCTTCTTTCGCGACGACAGCCAGCCAGCCATCCATGTGCTCTTCCCAATGGCGAGCCGTTCAACCTGTCGCATTGTGCTTTGTGTTGCGCGGCTTGCTTGCGGCCGTCGTCTGTTTCTGCGGTTGCGACGCTTCAGTCGACGCTCGTGTCTGGACATGGCACGGGCGGCGAGGGGACCCTGACAGCGGTGCTCGTACAGACACCCGCAACTCGCCGACAAGCGGAAGCGCCGCCCTGGGATTCCCTCATCACGAGAAGAATACATGTCGTCTTGGAAGATGTAAGCGGAGTGCGACCTCTTCATGAGCAAATGCGTCTGCGTCTGCGGCCGTGGAACGGAGCCGCGTCGATGCCGTGGTTGGAACTGGACACCCACAAGAAAGATTCACGCAAGTCCGTGGACGGCATTTTGACAACGGCGGGAATCCAATGTGACTGACCTGCGGACATTGCAGGAATTGTTAGCGAGTTCCGCACCCCAGCAGGGTTGGATGAAGGAACCGCCCTACCTGCCACACTTATACACGTTTGCGGAACGCAAGTCCCTCTCCTCCTCATAGACATTCGCGCCATGCAATCCAGGCTTGGGGGGACGATGTGCATCCCCGCACAGAAGTACGAACTCGTGTAGAACACCAAGGGCATGCGATTCAGCCAAGAGCGCGAGCGGAACTTCAACGCCTTGCTTTCGAAGCAACTACGAGGCTTGTACGGCACGAGAATCTCGTAATCTCACACGGGAACCCCAAGCGAGGAGATTCGAGGAATGATGATTCAAGGCGAGACTCCTTCACTGTCACGGCAGTCTTTCAAGTGTAGTCGTGCTTTCTAGACGCCAACTGCGTGCGCAATACTGAATGAAAAAAAGAGGGAACCTTGATGATATTCACAACTTTATATGAGACGTGCAAGACCAGATCTATATAGTCGTATTCCGGCAGCATTGAGCCCCCTTGCGCCCTCCTTGACAGCCCTTTCTGCTTGACCTGACGGCCCGAACCAGATATATATCACCGCGATTTCCTTCCATATTGATCAAAATTGAATATCCGCGTGACCCTTGGGATCGAAGCACCCGAACACCCCTGGCTTTCAATTGGGCTTATTGTGTAATTGGTGAGAATGTATGGCCTGGGTTCATCAGTCATGCTCGGTCCTATGGAAGATGCTAGTTGTGGGTTGCTCGCTTGCGGTCTCGTTCGATCCGAGATCGACGAACCTCGTCCTCCAGCACGGCTTTCAACCGGGAGTATTCTGCAATTGCTCCAAGCATCAACGGGCTGTCATCCTGCACTGCGAGATATGTATCATTCACTCGAACGCTGTCATGGTAGATGATACGGACGCCGTCCATGAATATCCCGTGAACAACGCCGTACATGTCGAGTGCGAAGGCCCCAGCTCCTACTTGTCTTTTGCATCTTGAACAAAGTTTTTCCATTATAGACGTAGCTCTCCTACACTCAGATCCGTCCTTCATCATCGGTTTTACGCATTGCCACTGCGTTATCAGCTGCGGGTCAGCGTAGTAGAGGGGCATATTGTCCGTGTTTCGTGGCGGCCGTCTGCGAGTATGTGTTGGGAAGGCTAATGGCTGAGCCGCTCAATTTTTTGAGAGAAAAGTTGGTAGAAGTCGACAGTGAATTCTGCGTGAAGATGCCGTCTTTAAATCATTACTTTTGGCGCAAAGGCAGGAGTTTGAACCTGTCCGCTGTCGCGCACTGACTGGCCTGGACGTGTCGCCGGCCGTCGTCCAATTTATAGTCTTCTTTGGCGCCTATATGCAATCCTCGGCGTTGCAAAGAGTACGTACGCTTTCCGAACACCGTGTTGCACATGCACAGCTTTGCGGTTCAAGTTCATATGGTGAGCGCTTGCGGCGTGGCCTCGCCTTCGTTGGCATCTTCCCCCATGATACCACTCTTCTAACACACGAATAAAACCGCGTCTGGGCAGAATCATTCAGAGGCGAGGCTTGGTTCCATCTCACGCCCGATACAATCAGTCTGTCCCAGGACTCGGGTGATTGAGTGTTAAACAGACAATTCAAGCGCAACTTCTTGCAGCCGACAACGTAAGAAACAACCATGCAAAAGAACAGCCTTTCCCAGATCATTCAACGCTCACGTCTCATAGCAGGCTTTTGTCACAATAGTACAGATGTAGATTCACAGGAATTTCCGTGTAGGTGGCCGTATCCAGCGCATCGATAAGTAGACACCGAATCATATAGACTCGAAACGTGCCATCTATTTAGTATGGTTCCCTTGCTACCTTGTAATAGCTTGCTGCACGATATACTGCAAGTCTTGGGTCGGAAGAAGCAGCGGGTACGGATGAACGATGGAGTGGTGCAAAGGCGAGTCGCTGTCTTCACTGCGTCAACTCCCTGTTACGGTACACCTAGGCCGCTTGAGAACAATCTTTGTACCTCTGCCAATTAGCTCAACAACTACCTTGGTATACGAGGACATAAAAGTACTTGATGCAAACTTACCTAGTACACTACAAGGGCCCATTCCTCCACTCCACTCCCTGGCACCCCTTCAGTGCCAGATGATTGACTGTTCCTTCTAATTTGATGGGGAGATTTCGTCGTAAAATTTAGCCATCGGTTACTGTACTCTAGAGTTATGCAATGAGATCAGCCACGTTCATGGGCATTTCATCGATCTGAGTTGAATAGTACACTGAAATACGTCAGCACAGCGTTATGTAGCGAAGCTGAATTGACCTACACTCAATGTCTCTCAGAATGCGCACATCCTCGGTCGTAACAAAGTTGATCGCTACGCCTTTGCGACCGAATCGACCACTTCGGCCAATACGGTGGATGTAGTTCTCACGATTGCTAGGCAAGTCATAGTTGATGACTAGACTGACTTGCTGCACATCAATACCACGGGCCCAAACATCAGTGGAGATGAGGACTCGGCTGTTTCCCTGTCGGAAGTCCTGCATAATGCTGTCGCGTTCCTTTTGGGGCATATCGCCATGCATGCTGCTGACAGTGAAGTTGGCCTCGCGCATCTTGTCAGTGAGCCAGTCAACCTTGCGGCGTGTATTGCAGAAGATGACGGCTTGTGTAATGGTCAAAGTATCGTACAAATCGCACAGGGTATCGAATTTCCAGTCCTCCTTCTCCACAGCAATGAAGTATTGCTTCAGACCCTCGAGGGTCAGTTCATCACGTTTGACAAGAATTCGCACAGGATCCGTCATGAACTTGGTTGTCATATCCAGCACATCATACGGCAGGGTAGCGCTGACAACCACGACTTGTGTGGCCGGGGGCAAGTATCGATAGACGTCGTAAATTTGTTCCCGAAAGCCCTTATTGAGCAATTCGTCGGCTTCATCTAGCACGAGCATCTTGATGTGCCTTGTTCTCAGGTGGCGTCTCCGAATCATGTCGGCAACACGGCCAGGCGTTCCGGACACGATGTGCTGACCATAGTCGAGCTTGCGGATGTCTTCGCCCACGTTGGTGCCGCCGATACAGGCGTGGCATTGAACGTTCATGTAGTCGCCAAGCGCCATAACAACCGACTGGATTTGAGTAGCCAATTCGCGGGTTGGTGAAAGGACTAGGGCCTGTGTCTCGCGCACAGCCGTGTCGATGACCTGCAGCATACTAATCGAAAAGGTCGCCGTTTTGCCAGTGCCTGATTGTGCTTGAGCAATAGTGTCGCGTCCCTTGCACACTTGGACAATGGCTCGGGATTGAACCGCGGAGGGGGATTCATAGCCGTACGCATAGATGCCACGAAGTAGGTTCTCTGAACGCGCGTTTTAGCCCTCAACTGTCGGGACTCGATGAATCATCTTGTGCTATTTGTCACGTACCTTTCAAAGACATCGACTCGAAAGTAGGGTGCACAGTGACTTCTTTGGAGGTGGAGAATTCCATCCTCTCATCCGCCTTGCGGTCGATTCCCCCAGCGCCTTCGGCCATCTTATCGGGTATTATGTGGGTGGGCTTGCGAAGATGGGAAGAAAACGACAATGGGTTGTGGTGTCGAGATGAGCTGCAACCGCCCCCCAAAAAAAAATCGGGAGCTGGTGAATGGCCGGGTTTACTTCGGCAGAGTGTGGATTGTCGCCCTCCACAACGGTGATGGGCTGCGCAAACCTTTAGCTGAAGCAACGAAAGTTCTACGCCTTCACGACCCAACTTTTTTTTCCTTTTGGCCTGTGAGAAAGGGAGTGTGTGTGTGTGTGTCGCTCTAGATCGCTTAATCATTAGTCGCTTGTGAAAAGCGGCTGTCAAGATGTACGTGCTAGAGGAGCAAAGATACATTCACGAGGACCTGGAGCGGCTAGAACAAGGCATCGCTGATCGCGTCCGCGAGGAGCCAAAGCATGTGAGTAATTCCGTTTGTGAAACCATTCGCCGAATCAGACTGATGCAGGTTGTTGAAAAGATTCGCGATCGCTTAAACCGAGACCATGAAATAGCCCAGCTTCTCGACCAGATTCAAAAGCAGTCAAAAAACCTGTTGAACCTGTACAAGGACGAGAGCGGAGCCCGGGCAGCAGAACTCCAAGAACTAAACGCTGGCGATCCCTTCGATGCGTTCTACAAGCAACTCGGCGACATTCGCGAACACCATGCCAGATACCCCAACGAGCAGGCGGAAAACTCGGAGCAAAGATACAATCAGAGGAGAGGCGACCCGTCCGCCCCTGTCGCAACGGTAGCAGACACAATATTCTCCGGGGAGGAAGCATTCGGGCGGTTCTTCGACCTCAATACATGCTATGAGTCATTTCTAAATCTCCCCAATGTCAAGAGGCTCACATATTTGCAATATCTGGAGCACTTTGATAATTTCACTTCTGGCCATGGCGGCGTCAAGCGAGGCGACAAGATGACGGATCAGTACTTCAACTATGTTGGAGACCTGGCACAGTATCTCGAAGATTTCGCGCGAAAGACGCGTCCGCTGGAGAATCCGGATAACATCCTCCTAGAATTCGACGAAGAGTTTGGCACGCTTTGGGAGAAGGGTGAGGTTGCGGAATGGGAGATTGAACCAGCGACGTACAGCTCGAAGGCGGCTCTGACCAATGCCGAGGCCATCTGGTGCGAAGACTGTGAAAAGGAATTCAAAAACGAAAATGTATACAAGAACCACCTGACTGGGCGAAAACATATCAAAGCAGCCGAGCAGCGTCAACAACGACAACAGGATGCAGCTGTTGGATCGGGAGATTCAAAGTCAATTGTCGTTTCATCGACGAGGTTAAAGGAAAGGGCCATTGCTGAGCGCGAGCATCGCGTCAAGAAACTGGCCAGTCTAATGAGTACGGAACGAAGCGACACTCGCGTTAACGTCGAGCGAAAGCAAGGCATGACAAAACGGGAACGAGAGCAGGAACTCGAAAATCTCCTCAACGCCTCCGATGTGCCGCTAGAAGCCGCCGAAGACGGCGAAGGAGAGGACGACGACGATGAAGACAAAATTTACAACCCTCTCAAAGTTCCGTTAGGATGGGACGGCAAGCCGATCCCCTTTTGGCTTTACCGGCTGCACGGCCTGGGCGTGGAGTTTCCGTGCGAAATCTGCGGCAACTACGTGTACAAGGGCCGACGAGCATTCGAAAAGCACTTCAACGAGTCTCGTCATATATACAACCTCAAGTGTCTGGGAATTACGAATCCGACATTGTTTCGGGACATCACCAAGATGGACGAGGCAGTCAAGCTTTGGGAGAAGATGCAGAAAGAAAAGAAGAAGTCGAAGCTGGACGAGGGTAGTGTCGTGCAAATGGAGGATGGCGAGGGTAATGTCATGCCCGAAAAGGTGTACTACGATTTACAGAAGCAAGGGTTGTTGTAAGACCAAGCGAGCTATCACCTACCTATACACACCATGTAATTAGTATGCGTCAAGCGGCGTGATTTAGGTCAGACAAACGGATGTATGATATTTCGAACAAGCTCGAAACAATCAAGCGAGACGAGTGGAAATGAAAACAAAAGCCTACTTTACCTATGACGTTGCGGCGCCAAAGTTCGCCCGAGACATGAGTGGTCGCCGATGGCTGTGAACTGTGAGTCTGATAAACGATCAACACTTCCGCCGTTCAATCCAATAAAATTAGATTCACCACTGGCTACAAAATGAATACAAGGGTGTGACAGGGACGCGTGGAAAGTTTGAAAAAATGACAATCTGTGGTGGCCAATTCGGCCTTCCGCCTTTTATCAGTTGGTTTCGTCCCATCGTCTGTCCCGTGCTCTGCTTCATAGCCAAGTCTTGACGTTGTTGTGTTTCGACAACATGCAGCACGGTTTCTTGACGACATTGTTGACACGAGGGAGCTTTCAGATGGCGGCGTTGTATTGATTTCGCGGAAAGCATTCATAAACACTCTTTTGTTTTTGACTATTTTCTCCGACCCTTCTCCCCGTTTCCCGTTTCCTATATCTAGATTTCGAGATAACTCTATAATTCTTGGACCATCCAGCCCATTGTAGAAGCTACCTTATTAGGGAGCAAAAGTATCCAGGTTCTGAGGGGGGGGCTGCTTTCATCTGAGTGGTCTGAGAAATATGTTGGTATTGAGATGGCGGACAAAGTCAAAAATCTGCCTAGCAATAGCTGCATTACACGGAGTGAGGCTGTTGACAAGTTGGAGGGTCTTTTTGTGAGTGTACATTCTTTTAAATCATTTCTGGGTTTATTTTTTTTTTCTCTTGCTTCTTCTGTAGAATATGTTCAAGCCTTATATATGTTAATGTAGGAATAGTACGGGTCTCGACATCTTCATCTCCATTCTAGATGGCCTCGTTTTTCATGCTGCTTCATGGAAGGTATCTTGCCGGACGTGATATTCCCTCACGTTTGCGGCTGTCTCGGCGAGCTGCGTTACAATCAGTTCGCGTTGAAGCACCGGCTATGCCACGAGCTTTTCACACACTACGAGGACCCGCAAGGCAGAGCCGGGCATCTGCCAACAGTGGCACACGAGGCCGAGAAACGCTGGGACAAGCCTACCAGGTGGGATACAACAGGTGTCTTTTTCGGGCTTCCCATGGCACAGCAGAATCCTCGAGGGCTGATGAAGAATCTGGCCAAGCTGTTGGTAAATGTGCCCCTGGGAGTTCACAGATCTTGTTCGGCACTCATGAAGACCGTAGTCGACAACAGGACGCGAAGAACACCTGGCTGTCGCTCGCAACTTGACAAGCCATGGGGGTTGGGTTGTTGTCACGAGACAATGATGGTTTTAACGGAACAGAGCAAATTCTCAACGCTCCGCTGCCGCTGGCTTACTCCGTGGCCAATGCCCACATGAGGTTGGCGTAGGTTCTTATCCAGTCGTTCCAGCTTGTCGACAAGCCCAACTGCACTACGATTCCCGCGACTATATTCGCCGTTATACCTTATCCTGGGACTTGCCCTCATTTAGTGGAAGATTGGGGACGCCTTCGGACACGACGTAAACGATCTTCCGCTTGAAGGCTTTTCCCGAAAAAAACGTGGCAAGATATCCACGTAATCATGTGCCATTCGCCTGGGTCAATGGAAGATGTGGTGCAGGGATGCGATGCGATGCTATACCCTCTGAGCCAACATAGGTATCATGCTCTGGTACGAATCGGTGGAAGCAATTCGAGCATGCTTCGCGCCAAGTTGTCCCTGTCAGGTGATAATAGGCAGGATCCCAGTTAGCTCTGTTTCCAAGTCAAAAGGCCTAATCCTCTCACAATTGAGGCATTCGTTGAATCAGCGTCTTCGAGGCGTGTGTTTGTGAGATATTGTGTCATCGCGTGTTGCAGGAGCGCGGGGCCAGCGAAAAAAAAAGCACGCGGCTCCTATTGGTCCATGAGTAACGCTCCTCAGGCATCCCCTTGACCAGTGACAGTCAACAAGAAAGCATACGCCAACCAAGAAGGTTCAAAATGTCATAATGTTTGAAGTTACCCATCATCAGGCATGAATCACGTCACAAAACCTCTGCCGGCGCTATACACGGTCTACGTTCTTCGCTCAACCGTGAGACACGCGTCTCTGTATATTGGCTCGACACCGAACCCCCCGCGTCGTCTGAAGCAACATAATGGCGATTCTAAAGGCGGTGCGGCACGCACATCGCGCGATAATTTGCGGCCCTGGGAAATGATTGTTTTAGTGTCTGGATTTCCTAGCATGGTTTCAGCGCTCAAATTCGAGTAAGACCTGTCTTCGCCTACCTACTTGGCTTCCCCCTTGACCCGATTTCCCATGAGATAGCAGAGAATCTTGCGTATACCACGCACGCGCGTTTTGCTAACCACTCTGTCAGGTGGGCACTGACAAATCCCCATCTCTCTCTGCATATACCGGATGAGTCGCGTCTCAGCATCTCAACACGGAGAAAGAAGAATGGCATGCCCAGGCGCCCACTGCACAGCTTGAAGTCCATCATGTCCAACGTCCATCTGCTCACCAGTGTGCCGAGTTTTGCGAGGTGGCCGTTGAATTTACATTTTCTCACAAGGGAAGCCTACGCGGCGTGGGGCTCCACGATAAAGGCTGCACCAAGGCCTTGCCGAGAGGGTCTCGAAATCATGACCGATTTTGGTCATGGACACAATGTGAGCGGTTCTTCGTCATCTGGGGGGGCCATTCACGCATTGCCTGTGGATTATAGCCCCATGGCGGAATATGTCGTCAAGGCGCATGATGTGGTTAACTTTGAGCAAGAGGGCAACTGTGTTCACTGTGCGGAGGAGCTCGAATCAGGCAAGGGCCTGCATGGCATGTGTCCAAACGGCAAATGCGAAGCCATGGGCCATCTGGACTGCTGGAGTAGACATGCGCTCTCGGGAGAAAATACCATTCACATCATACCGGACCGTTGCTCATGCCCGTCGTGTGGGGCGCCTGTCAGATGGGGTGATATGGTCAAGGAACTGAGTTTGCGTGTGCGTGGACCGAAGGAGGTCCAGAAGCTAGTCAGGGCGGTAGAAAAAGCGAACAAGATAGTCGCAGCATAGCATCCCGTGTCTGTATTTTAGCAAGTGTGTGTGAGGGCATGAGCGAACAGATGAGTCTAATGTCTTCCCATTGTGGGATCGTTTAGGCGGCGCCACGTTGGTGAATGGCTTTGATGGCACGACATGACACGTATGATGTAGGCATCTTGGACTTGAACCTGCATGATGTAGGCATCTTGGACTTGAACGAGCTGCTGAGGGCTGATTGTAGTGTATGTAGTCCATTATCGCCCTGCTGCTGCGGCGTCAAAACAACTTGCTATTGCAGACGGTGCATGCGGGTACTGGACACGATTTGCTGTTCAATGTTCCCCAGATTGTGCCGGGTACGTCTGTCTGATGAAGGCGGACGGCGGGCCGAGCGGTTCATGGGACTCGTGGCATATCGCAGGGTTGGCAGTAGCAGTGATGGTCTGCATTCGTGTGCGTCATCCGCCTGAGTTCCATCCACTTCCATCCACGCTTTCACGGTCGCCATTTCACCTCTGGGCGTTCGTCTGATGGGCCGAGGCGAACGAAATGACAAAAGGCAGAAGAATACGTGCTATGGAACTTTACAAGGCTGCTACCGACTGGTGCGAGAATCGCCGCTCTCGTCGGATTCACAAAAGCGGGTCTCCCAATCCTCCGGTTCGGGCCCACTTTGCATCTTGAGCAAGTATGGATACTTTTAGCCACGGGCAAAATATGACCGACCGAGGGTGACGGCTACTTCATTAGCCGATACGGGGTACAGTGTGCACCGGACTTGAGCCATACAAGCAGAAAACAGCAGAGGGAAGGTTGAGCACCTCGGGGCCGGGCTGCGGCTGCACCTGGCCGTGGTCTTGACTCTCCTCTCTCTCTCTCTCTCACACCAGACCATTGACTCCCAGAGTCAACCGCGACCCCATCCCTCCTGCCGTCTTCCCTTCCACCTTGCACACCAACATCTACACTCGACCCACGACCCAGAGGCCACATGATTCCTCGACTGCAACACTGTCGGGGTCTTTGCTCTGCGCTGAGGGTTCCGTTTGTCCTTTAATTATATCCCTCGCATGCGAGCTTCCCCGTTGCTGCTCTTTTATAATCGTAAGTCGCATGATTTTGTATTAGTGCGAGCCATATGGGCGATTGCGTCGCGCCGCTTGAACCTTTTTTTCCTAGTTCGGGGTCGACAATTTGTTCACGCTGTACGCTAGGCACTCGTCGAGGCTATTTTGTCTTCTCTTCCGTCCTTCGATCCGATTCATTTATCTCCTTCGTCCCTTTGCGAAACCGACATCCTGCTGCACACTGCAACGACAGAGACTTGTAGTCAACACGTCTGTCGAACACACAAGGCCATCGCTACGATGCACGCAGCTAGTCACCCATAGGCACGCCCCATGAGCAACGACAGCAACACATTCGTCTATTCCCCGCGCGAAACCGATTCCATCGACCTCCCTCAGCTGTGCGTCGACGCCCGCCACTGCCGAGATCATCACGCTTCTCGGGGCCCCCTTTGAATCAATCATGGCGCCAATGTCCACGGCCGCAATGACAACCGCTGGCGTTAATAGCGCCAATGTCAGTTCTCGCAACTCGCCGGCCACAGCATCGTCGGCGACCCAGTCATCGTCAAGGCCGAAGCGCAAAGTGAACACAAATGGCTATCATCCCGCCAATTCACAGATCCCTTTGAGCTCGATGGCTAGCACGGGGCTGGATCTCACCTCGGTCGAACGGCGCGGTCAGCCGACGGCGGTGCGCGAGTCTCTGCAGAAAAAGTCACGTCCCCACGGCACTTCCGAGGCACCCACCTACTGTCCGACCGAGGAGGAGTGGCGAGATCCGTTGGAGTATATGAAGAAGATTACGCCTGAAGCCTCGCAGTATGGTATATGCAAAATAATTCCGCCAGATTCATGGAATCCTGATTTTGCCATTGACACAGAGGTACACCCATCCGCACTTGTGCTGGCCCAACAACTGACATGTGCCGAATCACAAAACTAACATTACCCAAAGAAATTTCACTTCCGAACTAGAAAACAAGAGCTCAATTCTGTGGAGGGAAGTAAGTAAAAAGGCCACGAGCGAGATCGATCGTGGGAACCTGCAGCCTAACCTTTGCAGGCACTCGAGCAAGCCTCACCTATCTTGATGGTCTTTCCAAATTCCACAAACAGCAAGGGAGCAATTTACACCGATTACCATATGTTGATAAGAAACCACTAGACTTGTACCGCCTAAAGAAAGCCGTTGAATCACGTGGCGGCTTCGACAAAGTCTGCAAGTTGAAAAAATGGGCCGAAATTGGACGAGATCTGGGCTACAGCGGCAAGATCATGTCATCGCTGTCAACTTCCTTGAAGAATTCATACCAACGATGGCTCTGTCCGTATGAGGAATATCTACGACTTGCCAAACCAGGTGTGCATCAGCAGCTAGAACAAGAATACGGCGGACCATTAACGCCTAGCCCGGCCAACACCCCAGCCAAGAAATCTCATGTGAACACGCCATCCAGCACGAAAGGCGACTCACCAGCCAGACAGGCATCAGATGCCTCGCAGGGCAGTCTGAATGGCTCAAAAAGGGGGGCCGATCGCGACACCACTATGCTCGATGCCCCGCCACCAGCTCCTACGCCCCCTTCGACGGGAGGGTTCAAGGCCATCAATTCCAGCGCATTCACTCCAGTGAACGCCGCCTCGAAATCTGCCAACGGTGAAGCCAGAAACACGCCAGATTTCAAACAACTCGGCAGCCCGGCGGCTTCCGCTAGCAATACACCCGACCCTCGAGGGTCTGGCCTGAATCTCACTGCTTCCCTGAAACGCCAAGTCGGAGACCCGACCGACACGGCCAAGAAGGATGTGGACACGGATATGGAAGATGGTGAAGGCAGCAGCAGACGTAGTAAACGCATCAAACGGGAACCTGTGCCTACGGTTGCTGGCTCTCACATGACACCCTTCCGGCCATCTATTCCACGAATTCCGAAAGACGAGACCATGCCTTCGGGAGAGCGGTGTGAAAACTGTGGCCGTGGAGAGGGTAATGGGGCTCTCCTTGTCTGCGAATCATGTGATAATGCTTATCATGGACCTTGTCTGGACCCCCCAGTGAAGCGCAGGCCTGATTCAGAATGGAATTGCCCGAGGTGTCTTGTAGGCGACGGCCAGTTCGGCTTCGAAGAGGGCGGTCTTTACTCGTTGAAACAATTTCAACAAAAGGCAAACGACTTCAAGCAGGGCTATTTTGAAAAGAAGATGCCCTTTGATCACACGCTCAACTGTCTTCGGCCTGTCACCGAGGAGGATGTTGAAACTGAGTTCTGGCGGTTGGTTGCAGATCTCGAAGAAACCGTGGAAGTTGAATATGGTGCGGATATACATTGTACTACGCATGGCTCGGGTTTTCCCACCTTGGAAAGGAACCCAAACAACCCATATGCCTCCGATCCTTGGAATCTCAATATTCTTCCCCTTCACCCCGAGAGTCTTTTCCGGCACATCAAATCTGACATTTCTGGCATGACGGTGCCCTGGGTGTACGTGGGCATGATTTTTTCTACGTTTTGCTGGCATAACGAAGATCACTATGCCTACTCTGCCAACTACCAGCACTTTGGAGCAACGAAGACGTGGTACGGCATTCCAGGAGAGGATGCAGAGAAGTTCGAGGCGGCCATGAGGGAAGCCGTTCCCGAGCTGTTTGAAACACAGCCAGATTTATTGTTCCAGCTTGTCACATTGCTCACCCCCGAGCAACTGAAAAAGGCTGGGGTGAGAGTTTATGCTCTTGACCAACGCGCAGGTCAATTCGTCATTACATTTCCACAGGCATACCATGCCGGATTTAATCACGGGTTCAATTTTAATGAAGCAGTTAATTTCGCACCATTTGATTGGGAACCATTTGGACTTGCAGGAGTCGAACGACTACAACTCTTCAGGAAACAACCCTGCTTCTCGCACGACGAACTTTTATGGACCGCTGCGGATGGAAATACAACGGCGGGCTTATCCATCCAGACAGCCAAGTGGCTGGGGCCTGCATTGGACTGCATTCGAAAACGTGAGCAGGCACAACGAGCGGAGTTCCTGGCTAAACATGTAGAAGCTTGTCCCCATAAGTGCCCCATTACCGGCTCCGTGGAAGACGACAGCGGCTGTCCCCTGACTTTCAAAGTCGAAGATCATGACGTTCTCGAGGAAGAGGAGCAGTGTTGTGCTTACTGCAAAGCATTTGCGTTTCTGTCCAGGCTCAAGTGCGGACGCACCGGCAAAACAGTCTGCATCTTGCACGCAGGGTCTCACCCGTGTTGCGACCTGACCGAAGAGCAGCGTCTTGCCGGCGAAGACCACACCTTGTTCTACAGAGTTACCGGCGAGGCCATGGCTGCCGTATATGAGAAGGTAATTGAGAAGGCGCGGACGCCGGAACTGTGGGAAGACAAGTACGCCAAATTGCTTGACGATGAAACAAACCCGTCGCTAAAGTCTCTTCGAGCTCTCCTCCACGAAGGCGAACGGGTTCCCTTTGATCTTCCATCCCTACCTATTTTGAAAGAATTCGTCGATCGATGCAACGACTGGGTTGAAGAGGCCACGAACTATATTGTGCGTAAGCAACAAAACCGCCGAAAGAACGAAAAGGCTTGGCAGAGTGGCATGCGCAAATCAATTGGTAGCGCATATCAAGACCAAAAAGAGCGCGAGTCCCGCAATGTGAGCAACATTGATCGCCTGCTCCGCGAAGCAGAACACATTGGATTTGAATGTCCCGAGATTGGTCAACTGCAGGAGCGAGCTACAGCCATTAAGGAATTCCAGCTCAACGCAGCTCGAGCCCTCGAGAATACGGCCACCATCTCCATGGAGACCATTGAAGAGTTGCTTGAGGAAGGCCGGAGCTTCAATGTGGACACACCTGAAGTCGATCGTCTCTCCAGAGTCTTGGAGCAGATGCGGTGGAATCAGAAGGCTCGTTCAAGCCGCGGCTTGTTCCTGTCGCTAAAAGACGTCACGGAGCTGATTGAGGATGGCAAGCGACTTGGGGTCCCCGGTTACAACGACCATGTCAAGTTTTATTCTGACCAGAAGCTAGCTGGTGAGACTTGGGAAGCCAAGGCAAAGGAGCTTATCCACGCCGCCGTCGTGCATTACCCGCAGCTGGAGGCGCTTTCCAACCAAGTTCAGGCAAACGCCCTCCCTGTGTCTCACGAAACCCTCGCTGAAGTCGACAGGATTCTACATAAGCAGCGCGAGGCACATCGCCAGATTATGGACATTACCGAGCGCTGCCGAAGCACAGAATTCAGGAAGAGGCCCAAGTACGCAGAGGTTGTGGACATAATAAAAAACGTTGATGAGCTCAACTCGAAACCAACCGGCACAATCGACCTCGAAAATGAACGCAAGCGTCACGAAGATTGGATGCGTAGGGGAAAGAAATTGTTCGGGAAGTCAAATGCCCCTCTTCATATTCTAAAGAGTCATCTCGACTATGTTCTGGAACGCAATATGGACTGTTTTGATGTGGACAAGGACACACCGCGCCAACCCGCTGAACCAGTTTCTCGCGAAGTAACCCCTGAGCAGACGGGTACGCGTTTTGAAGATCGCACCAGGCAAGTATTTTGCATCTGTCGAAAGGTGGAGGCTGGCATGATGATTGAGTGCGAACTGTGCCATGAGTGGTAAGTATTTCCAACGCGAACCAGCTGTTTGATTCAACTTTCCTAATTTCAATATCCGCAGGTATCACTACAAATGCTTGAAGATTGCCCGTGGCAAGGTCAAGGAGGATGACAAGTACACCTGCCCCATTTGCGATTGGCGAACGAAGATTCCTCGCGACGCAGCCCGCCCAAAATTGGAGGATCTTATTAGTTTAACAGATGAGATTCCTCAATTGCCATTCCAGCCAGAGGAGGAGGATGTCTTGAACCGCATCATTGACAATGCCCAATATTTTCGCGACCACATTGCACGGCTGTGTAATCCAATCGTTTCGACAGAAGCCGAGCTGGAGACACAGCGGTTCTACCTTCGAAAGCTTGAAGGCGCCGAAGTACTCCTTTCGTATGAGACGAATTTCTTCCGTCAGGAATTGCACAAGTGGTGTCCAGTCGCTCCAGAGCCGCCACCCATTCTTGAAGTCTCTCTCAGCACACGCAAACCACGTCCAACCAAGCTACAGAAGATGTTGGCCGAGTACGGTGTCGATAATCCCGACGACCTACCTGAGCATGCCAAAGGTAAAGCAAACAGTTTGCGGCGCAAGGCGGCAAACGCTGAGGCGGCGGCGGCGGCGGCGGCGGCAGCAGCTGCTGCTGCCGCTGCCGCACAAAATCTCGGCGCAGCGCTGTTGCCCCCGTCGGGCAGTTCTGCATATGGTGGGCCGACATTTTACGTTGGATCGGGCGGAAACGCCAGCTCAGCCAGCTCCCCCCGCGGACATCTGAATCACCCGGGGATCTCCTCAAACGAGGATCGAGCCAGAGCGGACCCTACCGATGTGGGAAGCGGCCTGCAGGCGGGGCTCCTTGGCTCCAGGGTCCCCATCTTTACGAATAACATGACTGTCGGCTTGGAAGAAGGGCTGGTTCGGGGCCTACCGGAAGAGGATGTTGACCTAGAAAGTGATAATGGTAAGAGGGAGGCGCTTGAAATCCTCGGTCGTACAGCAAGGGGCCGCAAAGAAGCCGAGCAGATCTGGGGTTCAGACGTTTGGGGCCCCAAACGAGCTTCAATAAGTCAGAGCAGACGCTCAGTCACCCCAATTGAGGTTGATGAGACGTCCAGACAGGACGAGGGAAGCGTGGAGCAAATGTTCAAAGAAATGACGAACCAAGAAGATGACGAAGTGGGCAAGAAAAAGGACAATGACAATACAACAGAGACGGTGACTGCAGAATCACTCGAGAGCGAAAGAAATGACCTCGATGCAATGATAGATGGAGAATAGATGCGAATCATGTCTTGGGTTCCAGTCGCGAGGGAAAACCGGGTTCCAAAAACTTGGGAGTATCGTTTGTTTATTTTGTCTTTCGACATGAGGGGCTTGAAAGGGGTTATGGTGCTTCTGTTTCTTTGATTTTGCTCCTTACAAGATACATGGGTGTATAGTGTACGAGTACCAGCGCTATTGTCGTGGTGTATGACGGGTAGGAAAATGGGAACGCTCCTTTTTAGAGCAGGCAGGGAGGAAGGCTGGAGTTTTACGAATGCGCTCTTGACGAGGGGCATTTTGCTGGCGAGAGTTGCTGTCTCTTGGTTTCTAGTCTGATGGTTCGTAAACAAACGTACATAGCGGACCTTGGCACAGTCGAATTGAGGTTGAATTGCCTAGAGAAGTAAGGCTGAATCACAGAAGGGTTCGATGTGCAAAAAAAGGGAACGCGATGTGGACTCGTAGATGAGCGTACCTTGGAAAGGCCCGTGGGTGCTTTGGTCGCCATCTGCTGGAGTTTCGTGGCCGGATTACTTGTGTGCGACCCGGCCAGACCGAGGGGCATCTATTCAGAGCGTGGTTTGTGGTTTACCTGACACCACGTCATGGCTTCTGTCGTGGAATCCTCGACCGTGTCCAGGTGTGCCGAAATTGGTTGCTTGGCCTCTTCTCGTGTAGACAAGCGAGGAGGCATGCCAATACCGTGGTGATTCTAAACGTTGAAGACAGAACAGCTACATTATTTGTAGACTGATGTACCTTTGCCGGTCTTGGCTATCCCTACACGAGGACAAAAGCGTTCCTAGTAGTTGGAAATTATTGGGGGATGATGTGAGCTGGCTTGGACACAGAGCACAGGGTAGGTCACAAGCTTCACCGAAGGAGGTCATCACGTGATGAGAGGGAGTCTCCAGTCAGTCCGCGCTGCCGTCTGCGCGACCTCCTTCACCACACATACTGCTCCGCTCAAGGGCGCGCTATTGGAAATCAAACAGAACGCCCATGAGGCTCCGCTTGGAGATTTCAAGTGACCATGGCTTCGCCGCCGTACGCTACCTCGCCATTGGCCTTGTCGCCGCCGAATCCGTCGCCAGCACAGCTTCCCAACAAGAAGCGACCGTCTCCTCTGGACGGTAACGCCCCCCCCATCAAGCGTCGGAAGCCTTCCAGCCTGTCACAATCTTCGGCCCCTGCCCATCCGCTACGGCAGACTTCCTTCCCGCCCGAGGGCAGATCCCCGTATGCGCGATCGCCATCCGTCGACGCCACCTCCATCGTGAGCGGCGGCGCCCACAGCGCAGCAGCCAGCGGAGTCGCGAGGAAGAAGAGAGGCCGCAAGTCCAAGAACGCAAAGGGCGACGAGGGCGAAGGGACGCCAAGCCTGGTCGGGGGCAGAGCGCCCACCAGCGTGAGCGGACAGGGTGGCGACAAGGAGGCCGAGGACGACGAGGACGACGAGGAGAATGGGGAAATGGCGGTGGAGGCGTCGGGCGCCCGTACGCAGGAACAGAAGCAGGAAGAGATCCGGCTGAGAGCCATGCTGGTGGAGGCCTTTGACAGCGAGCAGTACAACCGATACGAGCTGTGGCGAGCCGCCAAGCTGTCCGACGCCGTCGTCAAGAGGGTAAGGCGGGCGACGCCCAGGGCTTGTCTGCCACGGCTGCGCACAATGCTAACTTGCGGCTCAGGTGGTCAACGCGACGGTGTCGCAGTCGGTGCCGCAAATGGTCAGCACGGCGGTCAAGGCGGTCGCCAAGCTGTTCGCCGGCGAGATCATCGAGGCGGCGCGAAACGTGCAGGGCGAGTGGATCTCTGCGGGCGAGAAGCAGACGGATCTGCCGACGCCGCCGCCGTCAACGGACGACGGGGCCAACGACGGGGCGGGGGAGCCCGAGGTCAGGCGAGGTCCGATGCGGCCAGACCACCTGCGGGAGGCGTGGCGACGATACAAGCTGTCTGGGGAGAGTCGGGGCGTGGGCGTGCAGCAGCTGTGGCACGCACAGCAGGGCAGCGGCGTGGAGAGATTTTCAACGAGGACACGAAGGCGATTGTTTAGATGACGAATTAATGCTGAGGCCGGCCATGTTGGCCAGGAAGGAGACGAGGCAAGCGCGTGCATGACAAGGCGTCTACGTAGAATGATACCCCGTATTTATAGAATCGAACTTATCTGGATTGTGTGCACAAGCCACGCAACAGCATCACGTACTCGATTGAGTGAGCACCTTTGACGGGGACATGAGGTTGGCCTGCAACCCTAACCCTTGCGCTGCGGGGGTCAGTGGCAGTTTGTGTTTGTCACCGAGTCCCCACTGGCTGGCGGGGTGTAGGAGGAAAAAAAAAAAAAAAAAAGAGGGAAAATGGGATGACGCCCGTCAACCGGTTTGCTGGCCAACGGTCCAAGTCTAAATGCGACTCCACTCCGCATGCAAGTCAGAATTTTGTCTCTCCGAGCTCCGACTCCCAGCCTGGCCCAAAACACCTCAGCGATCCCGTACCGTCCAGACGTCAGATTGCTTGCAGGAATATACAATGGCAAACGCAAAGGTATGACTACTTTTTCCTCCCCCCCACCCCCGACGTTTGCTCGTAGGGTCTGGCGGAAAAGCGTCGAGTGGCCGTGGCCGGGGCACATCACGAGGGGGACCAAGGCCAGGACCAAGACCAAGACGAGGACCAAGACGAAGACGTCGTGTCCAATTGCAAATTGCAGTGCCCTCCATTGCCATCGCTGCCTGCGATTGGCGGGTCTGAGGCTGACGCCGCGCCCAACTTCCCCTACGTTGACCTGGTCGGCTCTGTCCTCCCAACCTCATGGACCGCTGGGCTAACAAGCATCCCGCGCCTCGAGGCACAGGCACAGGCACAGGCACAGGCACAGGCACAGGCACAGACACAGGCGCAAGATCAGTCCGCGTCGGCGATCCGCATCCGCGACAACCAGCGGCGCTCGCGGGCCCGGCGAAAAGAGTACGTGGAAAACCTCGAGCGCAAGGTGCAGGAGTACGAGCGGCGGGGCGTCGAGGCGACGCTCGAGATGCAGCATGCCGCTCGGACCGTGGCCCTCGAGAACTCGAGGCTCAAGATGATGCTGGCGAGCCTGGGCGTCAGCGAGGCCGACATGGACGCCTTCCTGGCCGCCTGCCAGGACCGAGAGGCCGCCGAGGCCTTGTCGAGCGTCAGCATGCGGCCTGTTCACCACGATCAGAGGGACGACGAGGCGTCGGGGGACGTCAAGGTCGTGCCGCCGCAGGGTGCGGGCGGCGCCGGCGCCGGCGCGTATCCGCAGTGCGTGCCGGGAGTCCAGCAGCCCGTCTTTGCTGCCGGCGGCCGCGCGGAGCGCAAATACGTCCCCGGCTCGACGGCTTCTCGAAGGCACACGCCGCTGGATGTGCTGGCGTTGGCGACGCTCCAGCAGAGTTCTTGCTGCGAGGGCAAGGCCCGATGCACGGCGACGGCGTCCGAGGCGACCAGCCCGTCGACGGTCGAGACCAGCACGCGCGCCGTCACGCCCACCTCTTCGCCGGCCGCTGCTGGCCTGGTGCAGGGTTTTTCGTCGCCCATGGAAATGTCGTGCAGTGCGGCGGCGGCCATCATTGCCGAGATGCAGGGCCACGGCGATGCGGGAGCTGCCAAGGCGCGGCTGGGATGTCGTGGACAGCAAGAGTGTTTGGTGAACAACACTCTGCTGTTCGAGATACTGGAGAGCGAAGGACACGGCAACTTTCCATGATGCGCGTCGCGTGTTTATCACGGGCTACATTTCTGGGGGTCGTGGGCGTCCCGCGGCGGTGAACACTGACTGGCATGTCTGGCGCGGCGTGGTCTCTGGACGTGGTCTCTGGACAGGGGCCGATTCTATTCCACGCCGTCCACGGCAATATCGATCAGTGACTATCATCAAGGACGGACGGACGGACGGACGGACGGACAGGCCGCAGCAAGCCGCTCACGCCTCCCATTTCCACCGGCACCCAATCCATCCCGCCAAATACACCAGTCCAACCAAAACGGGAACCTCGATCAGAGGCCCAGCCGTCGCCGTCGCCGTCACCATGCCCGACGACGCGAATGAAGAAGACGGCCATGGGGCGCGAACAGGACCATTTGCAGCACCGAGTTGATGGCCTACCAGGATGGCGCAGTACTCGAGGTCGCCGCCCGCCAGGCCGCTCCACACCAGCACCACGGCAATGCAGCGGCCGAGACCGACGGGGATGAGACCACTGCGGAGATTTGGCCCCTCCCGTCGGGAAGAAAAGCCCCCGCCAGGCCGAGCTGTACGTTGTTGTCGTCAGCATGACGGCACTTGCCTGGGGGGGCGGCGGCGGAAACGAACAGCTCGGGACGCACGTACCATGAAGAACAGGTCAACGATGCGGTTGAGGACGAGGCTGAGGAGCACCTGTGTCCACAGGGGCCGGTGTCTGAGGACGTGATGCAGCGTTTCGTACCGCACGTCGCACAGGATGGGATACGTCATGACCAGCAAGCCGATTGCTAAGGAGCGTCCGCCGCGTCTTGTACATGCATACCCTGTGTAGTTGTAGCAGTAACGGCGGCGGCGGCGGCGTGCTGTTGGTTGGCGCGGGCTCGGGCATGATTGGGCGAGTGTGCGTGGTACAGGACAGGCAGGTTGAATTGAGAATGGGGAATCGTGCAATGGTTTCTGGTGCGTGTACGTGAGTTTGCTTGGTGTTTGTATACACATCTTGTGCTGGATGGTGGTCTTTTTTTTCTTCCTTGGACGGGGACCAATGGCGGTGGGCTCGTGACAGATTGGTCGGGCCAATCAGCGGCGGGGAGTGACCTGTTTTGGGACACGGGGATTCAGGGCGGGATGATGTCAATGCTGGCGCTCGAGGTGTGGGAGGACATGCGGAGTCGGTGTCGTTGCCCCTTGGGGAGCGCATCGTGGGACGTGGAAGGATGATGCTCGTACAGAGTACCCAGCACCGCTTGGTGCTCGGTGATGTGTTGTTGACAGGCAGGTGTGTCGTGAAGGGGGGATGGGGCAAGACTCTTTGAATTTACAGTGCCGTGAGTTGACCCAGACGGGCATGTCGCTTGGGACATGATGAGATGGAGTTGCGACGATGCAAATGTAAAGAATGCGTGTTGATGGCCCCTTTGGCGGAGGGAGGAACCCTTCTCGTGTGTTCCCTGGACCTGCGGCGTGTCGGGCCATTCCGATTCTAGAGCGCTGTTTGTTCCCGCGAGTTGCTTTGACGACTGCCGCGGCGGGGGGACGGAGGCTGTGAGGAGGAGCATCTTGTCCACGGTCCACGGTCAAGTTGTTGGCCTTGGCGCAATCCCAAGGCGTGTTTCGTGCCTCGTCGTACCCGGTCCGGTCCGGTACGTGAAGCTAAAAGCCACATGATTTTTCTCGGCATGCACGGCGCCATGTTTTCCCGAAGGGTTGACAAATGAGCAACCCTCGAGGGTGGTTTTCTTGCTTACATCACCATGGACGTGGCATTGCCGACCAGCCTCAGCCCACTTGGCCTCTCTGTTCCTGGCATGGCCAAAGCCGGTGCGACGTTCAACACGCCCTCTGCCAGTCGGTGGCCAAGATCGTCTGAAGCCGTGCCTGGGGAACAATGCCCGGGGAGTCGGGACCCAACGGACCACGTCCTAAGCGTCCTGCGAGGCCATCGTCTGTGCGTACATGGGTCTGCATCCCGGCTAATCTTGGACACATCTTGCGTCGTCGACGTCGTCGTCCCCGTCGTCGTCCCTCCCCTTTCCCCACTTCCCTGGGAGTCCAGACAATGAGCTTTGATCATTGGGCGGCATCAACTGCCGGCTCCACCGGCCAACTCGAAGATCAACACAGACTACAAGTCGTCATCACCGGGTGTCACGCACGGGGATATCAAGCTCTGGCACCGAAGAAACCCGTCTTCTGGTCCGCTTCTGGGCTGATGTCCCCGTCTCCCTCTTGCCTCGTTTTACAACTGGGAAAAGGGCTGCCTTGGTCATGTTGTCCATCATATGAGCCTTGTTCTGCCTCCCTCAAAACGGCAAGTCCCAACTTCGCTCAAGGCCATGGTTGAAGATGATGAGCCTGCAGGCGGCGATGTCGACCGCGGCCCCCAATCCCTGGTGCTGTTCTGGGTCACGGCGAGTGTCGGCACAATCATCGTGGGCCTGCGGCTGTTGGGAAGACGGATGCGAAAATCGACGGGATGGGATGACCTGATGATGCTCGTCACTCTTGTAAGTCGGTCCCCCCCAACTTTGCCAGCTCGCCTGGCGCTGTCGTTTGCGAGGGGAGCAGACGCCGCTGACGCCGTCGCTAGTTACTGTACGTCACATACGCAGGTTGCCTGACAAGAGTCGTTGACGTTGGGGGCATGCGCCATCAGTTCTACCTCTCGCCGGAGCAGAGGCTCGAGACGGCCAAATGGAGCTGGATATCGCATCCGTTCGTCGTCATGGGATTCGCCACGGGCAAGGTCTCGGTCGGCCTCCTTCTCCTGCGCGTCATCTGGGACACGGCTTACTGGCGCAAGCGCCTCGTCATGTTCGCCATGGGCTCGGCCTTTGTCATCGCCGCCATCAACGTCGTCCTCACCTTTGTCCAGTGCTCCCCCGTGGAAGCCCTGTGGGCGCCGGGCTTGATAGCCCAAGGCAAGGCAACGTGCTGGCCGCCTGCCGTCCAGACCGGGTTCGCCATCTTCCTCTCCAGTAGGTCCCCTCCCCTTCCCCGGGCGCGGTCCCCTTTTGCACCCTCTTGACCTCTCGGCGGCCGGGCTGACCTCACCTCTCTCTCCAGGCTGGAATATCCTCGCCGACGTCTTCCTGGCCCTGCTGCCGGTGACCTTCATGTACAACCTGGAACTGGGCCGGTGGAGGAAACTCGGGCTGTGCGTCCTCCTTGGACTGTCCTTCACCGCGGCCGTCTTTGCGGCCATCAAGACCAGATATCTGCTGTTGCTGAGCAGACGCTCCGACGTAACATGTACGTTCTACTACGCCTCGAGCGTCCTACTTCGTCGTCCCCTTCTTGGCTGACCCATGAGTCTTTCCTGCCGACGCGCACCAGGGGAGACGTGTTCCTTGCACATCTGGTCTGCCTCGGAACTCTTCGTCATCATCGTCTGCGGCAGCGTGCCGCCCATAAAGCCTGTCTACGACTACGTCGTCGGCAGCCGACGCAGCGACGCATTCGAGAGATACGGCAGCGGCAGCGGCAGCTACCCGCACATGTCCAGAGGCTCGAGAACCCCCGGGAGAAGCCGTCCGCTCGACTGTCTCAAAGTCCACAAGGACGAGCTCGAGCTCTATCGCCCGCGCTCGGCAGCCCCCAGCCTCCACGACACGGACCAGCCCTCCAGGCCAACCTCGTAGTTGGCCTGGAACGAGGGGTGCCGGTCCATCTGAAACCAGCTCAGAGCTCGTCAGGTTATATTTTTGTTTTCCACGTTTTTTTCATTTCCCCTTGCCGGCGCAAGCGATCACTTTATGGCGGCGAATTTGTATTTCCAGGGCAGAACAGGGGCGGCGCACGCCAAGGAGCAACGCCTGCGCACGAATCGCCATTGTCAAGCTTTTTGAAACGTCAATCTCGTTCCCGAGTCATGCAGGCATACTTGGTCCCGGAACGCGAGGGCAAATACCCGGTTTCACGCGCGCGCTACAGACGCGGCGGTGTTGGGAACTTTTGATTTTTTTAAGCAGGGGGACAAAGGGGAAACAGGACCTTGTAGCATCAAGCCGAGTAGTGCCGGCATTAGTCTAGTCCTCCCAGCATCAAGTGAAGTATACCAGCATCAAGTCAAGTATACCAAACGGCTGCCGGCTGCTCGATGCCGCACGACGCTCCCGCCGATCGCGGCACTAGTTCGATCCCACCATGCCCACAGTCCCCGACACCGTGTCGTCCCAAGGGTGCATCTGCCGTGCCGCGACGAACAACAAGGATGGAGGGATGGAAGAAGGACCAAGCAAGACGAGACCTCGGATGAGGGGAAGGATGCACCAACGTGGTTGACGGCCGGCGCTGATTGGCAGCAGCGTCGTTGACTAGTAACCACGTTCCTAATTAAGTACCTACCTTAAGTAGGTAGGTACTTATTATTAGTAATGGATGAGACGAACCCCCGCCCCCGGCTACACCATACTTTACTTCACCAAGTACTCAAGTACTCACCTGCACGGCCCGTCAAGACTTCGCCAAAGCCCTGCAGCAACCGTAGGCCACGCCGCCGACAGATCTGACTGTCCCTTGCCGAACGAGTGAAACAAAGGCAAGCAAAGCAGGCCCATGCCACGGTCTGCATTCCCCCAGATGCCGGGTACACCAGTCCACGCCACAAGGGGCCCCTTCACACTGTTCCAGCAGCTCAACAGTCTCGCACGCGTGCTCGTTTTTGAAGCGAAATGAACAGGGGATTTCAATGTCCGATAGGTGATTCATTGCTTATCTATGCGTGTACTGGAAGCCCTAGTCTGCCCCGTTTGTGATAGCTTCCCAAGTGTAAATCTATTACTAGTCCAGCTTCTGTGCCCTGGAATCCAGACGGATACTTACGCCCTTTGTAAGATGACATAAGCAAAAATCACTTCAACAGTTAGCAGCTCGCGATTCTATCCGATATCGTACAGCCGACGTGCCCCTGCGGTGACATCCCAGGCTTCCATGGTGGCCGTGTTTATATGACAGCGCCAGCTGCATTTGATACCAATAGCCAGACTGGATTCTAGAATTCTGCAGACGAGGCAGCCCATGGTGAGTCCGGTAGTGTCATATATCATCAGGAACCGTAGTTTCGGCATCCGTCGCACCACCTGAGCAGCGTTTTGCATCAGACGGTTGAAGTCCTCTGTTGGCGCGTGGTTGCTGATGGACCCTCTCGGCCTGAGGACGAGCCTCTCCAAATTTGGCCACAGCGTGGCGCTGTGCTTCATTTCTGATTCGAGCGTGCGAGCTTTGTATTCGAGAGAGAGGCCTTGGAGTTGAGATAGCTTGGTCCGCCATATGTACCGGAAAACGGCGTCGGCGCGTTGGTAGTCGACGTTGGTCTCCCCCTGCTCCAGCACATAATCATGGACCTGGGTAACGTGCACCTGCTGCATTGACGAGGGCAAAACCAGCAATACTCGATTCAGGTCTTGTTCAAATGTCCTGTAAATGCTCAATGTTGGATAGGGCCGGATATGCCAGTCAAGATCTTCAAGGCAAGGGAGACTCTGTACAATGGCTTGTACTGCCTTGGGGTGGAACCGCCGAATAGTTCTGCGTCGAATGGTCAATGCGGTGACGACTCTGACTTTCGGAAACGGAGGCTCGCGGCGCCTTGGCCTCCATCTCCTTCCCCTTTCCTTGTCCTCGTCCTCGTCCTCGTCCTCGTCTTTGCCCTTGCCACGGCTTCCACCATACAGGCCGAGCTCAAAGTGAAAATCTAACTCGGCGGCCTTGAGAGTTCTTTGCCATTCCCTCGGGGGGATATCAATGCTTGCAGACATCAGTCGCCCATCCACAATTTGTGTGCTATGGATGCGCCGAGGTCCATTGAGTCGTTGCATATTTTCTCCCATGGTTTGCCAATAGCTCTTTGCATCTGCGATGATTTCGAGCAGTATCCCTCGGCTTGTGACTTGCTCTCGCGTCCACGTTGCCAGGAGGCGAAAGAGAGAACGTACACCAGTGATGAAGATGGAGTTATCCAATCTCTGTTGAGCTCTGAGGCCAGGAAGGATAGGGCGGCGGTCAGGCCCGCCGGTGTAGATGAGCAACATCAGCAACAAGGGCCTGTGCTCTGGCATGTGAGACTGCCAACCGATTGGACTTGGAATTGTCTGGCAGGGGAGATTGAGCACCAAGCCGAGGCGTTGAACATATTTCCTTCGGTACACCTTGTTGAATACCGCCATGAACGTGCCGAGCTCGCGTGGCCGGACGTCCAGGCTGTAGTAGAGGCGCCCTTCTAAGAAGGCCTGAAACTCAAGCGAGACAACCGTGTATCCAGAAAGCGGCTCCCCGTGGGCACGCGCAGCGTTGAAGAGTTGCTCCAAGATGTGTCGGCGAATCTCGGCGGGTAGCCCGGGCCAGGACATTGCGAGAGTGTTTGTGGTGTCGTTGAATGAGCGAGGGAGGGCCAATACGCGATGAATGTCAGGATTCAGAACGATACTGGTCTTGAAATACTGGTCTTGAAGTACTGGAGATGGTTGTAGAAACATACCTGCTTAGACCTAGGTAGGCACCTAGGTAGGTAAACAGGCCCATGCTTCGAAAGACTTTCATCTCAGGCAGGAAGGGGGGATGATGTTTTTTTTCTTTCCGAATTCGGGAGGAGGCCCTTGGAGCACGCACTTGCTCGACGTCTTTGCCAGCGCTCTCCTCTATGGTTGTAGGCGAGAGTGGCGAGATAAAAATCACGGCGGCATGTCGTTTACCACCAGTATGTTCTGCTGGCCCAACTCGAGCATCACGGGCTCATCGTCGGAAAAATGCAACCGACTTGAAGATGCGCAAGTCAAGTTGAATGCATGTCTCTGTCCCTGGCAGATTTTGTAATGTAAATGGCAGGGCAGGAAAGGAGTCAACCGAAGGGGGGTATAAACACCTGTGGCAGAGCAATGTCGCCGCATGGATCCTAGACCAAGTTTTACTGCAGGTACGTAGTTGTATGCTATGCGACAGATTGGCACCTGAAGTTGGTGTGGCTGCGGCAGGCGGTGTGGCTCAGGCGGGGGTGCAGAGCGCCGGCCTCTGTCTCGTAACAAGAACAGTTCGACAAATGCAACCCAACCAAGCCGACGTCAATGCAGTCAACTCCGTACTCCCGTATTGTTGCGCAAATCTCAACCTCACAGAGCGAACCGACAAGACGCGACATCACATGACGCACCCGAAAGATGTAGAAGGAAACGACGACAAAAATCATCGGCATGTCTGCCCCCCCGCCGTCACAAGCGCCGACATTCCCACGCGCCGTCAAGCTGCCTAGCTGGACAAGACGCCACCATACGCATTCAGCAACTGCATACGTCAGCAGCGAAAGGCTGTGCCGGAAGTTCCAGCACAAAGGGCAGAGCGGACGTGGACGCTCGCATGCAATCACAGACGTGACCGTCACCTTCACCTTCACCTTCACCGTCATCGGTCTTGGGTCTTGACGCGCGCACGCCTGCTTCCCCGCCATGCCCGTCACCGAGTTCGCCATCATCCGCCTCCGCCGCGGCGGCTTCGACGAGCTCGACTTCCTTGAGGCGCTCATGGAGGTGCAGGAGGTGCAGGACAGCTGGGCGCAGGTGAACCACCCGCGTAGCCTGTCTCCCGACAGCAGCATGAGCAGCATGTACATTGAGCAGAGCGACCCGCCGTCCCTGCTCGTCACGGCATCGTGGGACTCACCCGAGGAACACGGCGAATGGATCCGCTCCCCCGATAACCAGGTGTGCAATGCCAAGCTGTCGCACTACATCAAGCCCGGCTGTGGCTCTGTGCGGCTGCTGCACTTGCGTCCCGCCGGCAGGGACGACCAACTACGGGGGGCGTTTCTGGACAAGGAGGCCTTCAACGTGGTCAGGATTACTGTCGAGCCCGGGCGCAAGAGGGATAAGCTACAGGAGGCGTATGAGATGGGGGAGAGGAACGCGTATCTCATGGACGACGAGCAGAAACTCTGGGCTGGGTGGAGCATTGAGAAGCTGCATGGTCACGAGGAGTTGGTTGTGTTTTGGACGGACAGACTGGCCGATGACGGCGTGCGGAAGCTGATTGCCTTGGGGGACAGGAGCGAACAAAGGCGCTTCAGGCATGTCGTGTAGGCTTCTTGTCGCACGTACTGTATTTTAAGCCCCTTTCTTTTTCTCTGTCCTGGCACTGGGCAGTCGGCGCAGAACACGGCATTGCCGCCACACGAGAGGGAACCGTTCGACGTGTGCTTTTGGAAGTGTGCTTCAAAAATCGTCCTCGTTCGGCTCTATGCGAGTGCGCGCGTTCTGAGCACATGAAATGAAAAGGTACCCCGAGACGCCCGTTGGTGCATGTAGATTCCTGTTTGTGTTTTTCGTCGTCATCAATCACCACCCCGTTTCCAACCCGCAGCTCTATCTCCTCTCTGGGCCCGTCATCCTGCTCAGTTCTTCTTACCAACCTCGGCAATGGTCAGATCTGCAAAAAGAAATGACACACGTCAGCAAAAATCAGGCCCGTTTCAATATTTGCCTTGCGGCGATCTGCCATCCAACGAGATCACACGCAGGACGGGCAGCGTTGTTGGAGAGAAGGGGCAGCGCGGGGCGGCGCGTACTGGGAGGCAGGCTCTGCTTCAATTTCTCGGCCTTGTCGGTGTCCTTGAGCACCAGGGTGTACAGGTGAGACTGGCAGCGGACCTTGAACTTGACGTTGTTTGATTTCTTGTTCTTCTTGATCCGCGCGGCTGCAAAGTTTCATCGGGTCAGAATTCAATCCCAGTAGGTGCAGGTAGCGTTTCTGAAACTCTCGCGATCCTCTTTATGGGGGGCGGGGGGGCTGCTCCCAGGAAACTATCCATCAATGACGGTGGTATGCGTCCAAATAAAATACATACAGGAAGCGTCCTTCCGACGGCAGATCTCGATGAACTGCAAATGGCTGTTAGTGGCGAGAAGGGAAAAGTCATAGATGGTGGAGGCAATTGAGAAATCGCAGACGAACCTTCTTGATATCGGCGACCTCGCGAGGCATTTTGGCGGCAGTTCGAACGGTCTGTCTGTACAGAGTCTTGACGAGGCACGAGTTGCGGAATCGATGGATTTTGGAAGAATTAATTTTGTGCGCCGCTTGCTCGCGGGGCCTGCGCACGGACCAGCCGGGTCAAAGGTCGGTCACGCACCGTGGGGCTGGTGAGGCACAGGTGTGGCGTGTGGATTAATAGATGACTTACGGAGTACGGAGGTCAACGGTCGAGAGTTGCCTGGTGTTGCGCCACGTAACTAATGTCCTGTGGCGTCGTCAACCATCTGCGTGTCACGTAAGTAGTCCGCCGAATGTATACATATGCCTGGGTAGTCGTTGTGACAGCATCGTAGCGGCGCATGCTTCATTCTTCACGACCCGCCGAGTTTCATTGTGGTCCCGACAGATGAGCTCTGAAAACTAGTTGTCGCCCTCGGGTCACGTACTCCGTACCCGGTATCAAAATGCCCACCCCGTTGGACAATGTGATGAAGTCAAAGGTACGGTTGATATGGATATTTAAACGACATGTTTCATTTTCTCACCTGTCCGCTCTACCTTGGCTAACTCGGGTCAGAACATGGTGCTTGGTGAGCCCGTCACGCGTTTTTGTCGTAGCCAACCATCAACGACTGATGCGTACTGCATGCAGCATTTGGAGGCGCCGTTGTAGCGGCCGCCGTATGGACAATCTGGGGCACGAGCATGTTTCCCGCAGAATTAGACCCCAAGGGCGACCCTGAGACTTGGACACGAGAAGAAATGCAAAGGTGGTTGGCAGCTGTGAGTGCCTCGAGTTCCACAACCAAGTTGGGGATAGAGACTGATGCTTGGCTGCAGAGAAACCTCTTCCCTGGCGAAAGCGACACCAGAGAACAATTGCTAGGACGGGTAAAGACCAACATGAGAATCGGGAGAGAACAAGGATGACCAGTGTATGGAGTATGTTGATGGCTAATAAGTCCATGTCATATGCACCTCCGGGACTTTCGTGATGGGTTTGTGACTGGATATTTGGAGGACGAGCCCACTCTGTCATGGCTCATCGTGCCGTGGCATCCTACTCAAGACGTTCGTAGAGCTTGCCTTCCGCCGCGTCTTTTCCCATGCTTGCAGCACCCACTCGCCCCATTTGTCGGCCTGCCAGACGGTATCCGATTCGATCAATAGCATCTCTTGTCATCCGCATGGCGCAAGCATTGCTTCACCATGAGGTCGTTGGAGCTTGATGTTCCTTTCACACACAAGTACTACCTAAAATATGCACTCCTTAGTCCGTACCAAGGCCCAAGGCACATCAACCCGGAGAAAAAGAGGGGCCAGCGCCGTACTTGGCGCTCCACACCCTCAAGTGCTGTCGACAATGACGCTCGCCAGCCAGTCTTGTTTGTTACCTCGTAAATTGACCGCTTTCCTTGATACCAGAATTTCCCGCACATGCACTATTCACGTTGGCAAGCGACTTGGCCCTTTGTTGCAAGAACCAAAGGCTTCTCGTTTTCGTTCTTGTTCTTTTTTCTTTTTTCTTTTTTTTTTTTTAAAAAGAATTCAAATCCCTCCCATCAGCCAGCCAGTCCCAGCTCGGACTGAGGAACGCACGTGCCAGCCGATCGCAGGAGGCGGCGTCTCGACTTCTCGACGACGTGCACCTCAGACGCTTGCAACAATCGTCATCCGTGCCAACGCGGACGGGACGCCCATCCGCGAATCGCAAGAGTGCACCTGCGCGGTGCGCGCACGACTCGAGAACCCCGTCGCAACCGTCATAATCCAGCACATCAAGCGTCGTCGCACCTCGCGCCTCGCGCCTCGCACCTCGCACCCCTGGGCTCCCACCGGGCACTCATGACCCGGGGGCGAGCCAGGCTTCGGAGCGCATCCCGTGCCGGAACAGCCACGTCCTCCATGCGTCCCCGGAATTCCATGCCCCAACAGCCCACGACTTGTATGCCGTCAGCAGCTGCGGCCAGCAGATCCGCGTACTTGAGTACCTGAACCCCCCCTCCCCGAACATGGCCTTCCTGGAAGACCCCAGGCTGCGCCAGCGCTGGAACCAAATCACGCACGACGCCGAAGCTGCGACCGAAAACGCAGCAGCCGGCATATTCGCCTTTCAGCAAAACTACATCAACCCGTGCCTCGCGTCGATAGCCGATTCGATCGAGCAATGCACCACAGTGTGCCTAGGCGACCCGGACGAGCGGCTCCGTCGTCGTCGCGAACGCCAGCGGGCCCGCGAGAGCGCCGAGTTCAGCTTCGACTTCTACGACGATTGGTACGAGGAGGAACACCCCGGCGGCGGGCTCCTGGGGACCTGGGGCGGCGAGGACTGGGACCGTCTGCTGGCCGGCACAGGCAGCGCCAGGAGGCATGGCGGCGATGCGAGCGACCAGCCACGGAGGAAGCGCGGCATGAGCTACGGTACGAGGGGCATGAGGAGGAAGGCGAGTCAGGGTGATTCCACGATTATCCCGAGCACACAGCCCATCGGGTTTCTGAGCAAGCTGCCCTGGAAAATGGGCGGGACGCTGCGGTACAAGCCCAGCGCGGCGGACCTGCAGGACCATCCGGGCAAGCACGACGCCGGGGAATCCGCACCGCTGCTGGGCGGGGACGACGAGTCGGACTATGGGGAGGTGCTGCGCATGCCTAGGCAACGGAGCGGGACGACGGGGTCTGGGGAAACGTCGGACTCGTACCGGTCACGAGGGGATTTGTTTCCCAGCGACGGGGAGGGGGAGGAGGATGCCGTGCCGTTGGCCGACGACGTGACGTACGACATGGTGAGGAGGGACGGCAGGAGCGGTGGCAAGACGAGGAGCGGCAAAGGGAAAACACCAGAGGGGGAGTTTGCGGCCTCGTCCCGGACCGTTTCAAGATCAACACTGGGGTCGACGGCGTCGAGCGAGTCGCGCGAGTACGAGAGGACGGCCCCGCCGACGCCGGGCGTGGCCAACCCACCGACAATGGATGACTTGCTTGTAGAAGAAGCGAGGTTGCAGAAACAAGAGGACGATGAGTTGGCAAGGAGGAAGGCAGCTGCTGCACAGCTTGCTTCAGAGCGGGGGCTGGGTGTCGACGGACAAGTCCGTGGTTTCGGGGAGGCGAGGATGCCAGACGTGACAATGAGTGAGATTTACGACCTCCGGGATGAGGCTGGGCCTTTGCAGGATCAAGATGGACAGGAGTCACCGCCGCGCACTCGGGGATCGAGGGACCAACTAATGGGGAGTCGAGGCGATGACGCGCACGAATCAAGTAGCAGGTCTACATCGGCTTTTCACGCAGCAAGACTGCCACGCTTTGGATGACGGGAGATTGGATGCCCATGCTGGCCTTCTCGCACTCGAGGACACATTAGGCCTCGTTTCAATTCATTCTGTACTTTCGGCCCCGATGCTGCATGCTCTTCTGCGCAAGGCGAGTGGATGGACCGAGGTGTTTCATGTCATGTATGCCGCGGCGCGAGAGGGAGCAGGGAACATTGTGTCTGTTAGCAAGCGTAGCTGTTTCAGTCAGTGTTTTATAGAAGTTGGCCTCCGATGCGTCGGTACGCACGAGATGGCCACTAGTAGATGGGCAAGTCACGAACTGATACCACACAGAGATTGACGGCAAGCCAAGAAGACAATCGTGTCGTGTGCCTCGAGTGTGAGAGCAACCCTTGGGCAGTAGTCCATCCGGATGCCGAAGCGGGTTGGTTATTACAAGCGCTAGGTACTTGTTAGATGACACACACGAGGTGCTCGGTTGTCAGTGGATAGGCGTCGTTGTTCTGGCCTCGAGGGCCGATGAGCCTCGGCTCCCCGCATCGGCGTGGACGGCCAGGACAGGTTTCCCCGCGCCTCCTGGGCGTTTTGGACTATCGCAATGATTTTTGGTTGCCGTGGGTCCCGACTGGTCGAGTCGCCCCGTGGCCTTCAGCGCTTCTTTAGTTGTATTTTTTTTTGGCTCGTGATGCTCGTCGATGAGGCCTGTTGGTGTCGTATATCTACTTCGTCGATGGAATCTGCCCTTTCAGATTCCCGTCACTCCCTCACTTCTCCCTCGCCATATCCACTCTTTCACTTCACTTTGCCATTGAGAGGCGGGTCGTTTCCCAGGACGGTAAGTCAGGCACCCGCCGCACGGCTGACCAGTGGACACTCGGGAGCCGAGTCCAGATTCCAGAAGCCGACACGATGTCTCTGTTGACGGCTTGATTTCTGACCATCATAGAATTGTTAGCATAGCCGGTTATTTCCCCAGTTTCCTTCGCCAGAAAAAACAGGCCACAAACAACCATGGCGCCGTCGGGTCCTATTACAACGCCGCTGACGACGCTGCTGGGAATCCAGCATCCCATCATGCTTGCGGGCATGGCGCACACATCAGGTGGCGAGCTCGCTGCGGCCGTGTCCAATGCTGGAGGACTTGGCGTCGTCGGCGGATTCCAGTACACGCCTGATCAGCTGCGCGACATCCTCTCCGAGATGAAGGCTAATTTCAAGCAGCCCAACCTCCCCTTTGGCGTGGACCTTGCCTTGCCTCAGGTCGGTGGTGGCGCTCGGAAAACAAACCACGACTACACACACGGCAAACTCGACGAACTCGTCGACCTAATCATTGACAGTGGTGCCTGTCTCTTCGTCAGCGCCGTCGGCGTCCCTGACCGGGAAGTCATTGACAAGTTCCACAAACACGGAATTCTAGTCATGAACATGGTCGGCCATCCCAAGCATGCTGTCAAGGCCCTCGAGCGCGGTGTCGATATGCTTTGTGCCCAGGGCACCGAGGGAGGCGGCCACACCGGCGATGTCGCCAACTCGGTGCTGATCCCGGCAATCGTCGACGTAGCCCGTCGCTACAAGCCAGCCATGCTCAAGGGCCAGACGGCCCTGGTCCTCGCCGCGGGCGGTATTCACAACGGACGTGGCCTGGCCAGCTCTCTGATGCAGGGTGCCGTCGGCGTCTGGGTTGGCACTAGATTCGTCGCCAGCACCGAGGCCGCGAGCGCCCAGGAGCACAAGGAGGCCGTTGTTGCGTGCGACTTCTCCGAGACTGACCGAACTCTGGTCCTCACGGGCCGGCCGTTGCGAGCCAGGCTCAACCCGTACCTGAAGAGCTGGCAGGTCAGAGGTAATGCCGCCCAGGAGCTCTGTGACAAGGGCATCATCCCTATCGAGCACGATTTCGAAAACGATCGCGACGATATTGAATTCCCCCATCTCATGGGCCAGGTGGCTGGGGCTATCACCAAGATCCAGCCTGCTCAAGAGATTGTCGACGAAATGGTTGCCGAGGCCGTGGATCAGCTCAAGCTGGCCAACGTGTATTTGAAGTCCCAGAGCAAACTGTAAACTAGGGCGAAGCCGGGGAATTGAAAGACGGAAATGAAATGAAATGAAGGGATTTTCTCGAACCCGCTGAAAAGCCATGCGGTGATTTGAAGGGCTCATGTTGCGGAATACATTCGGTCAGGGTTGGATATCCCGTCCGTGTCAGAGACTGGGTGGCATGCGAATGCCGAGTCAAAGAGGGGCGCGGCGTGGCCAAGTAGGGGGAGACAGCACATTGGATTTTATCATGCGGAAGTTGGGAACATAGGAAATCATGCCGTACAGAAACATTAGACCCATCGTCAATTTATCGTCTCGTATCGAATGAGGATGCCTTGGTAAACAGACAATACGCGAACTTTGTTGCACAAAGATTGAAATTCTTAAGCTCCTGCTAGATCTGCGCGCGGGCCAATTGCGAGTCACCTCGACGCCTCCATGTGGGGCACAGTCAACTGTTGGCTGGCATTTTTTCTTATCCGCCAGGTCCAAACTTTTTTGTCGTTTATCGTAAATTCCGCCGTCGTGGATTTTTTCCCGAGACCCTCCAGCACAGCGAATCTGCACCGCCCAACGGGAGCGACAGGATCGGTTCCGGAGTCAGCAGAAACGAATACAGCAGCGTCCCTTTTCTTTCTTGCAAGGACTCAATTATGAGTGAGGGAGTCGCCAAGAAGAGGAAGCGCAATGGCGCTGAAGGTGTTGCGAACGCCACCGCCCCCCCAAAAAAGTCAAAGGTCAAGAGCCCTTTGCCAAAGATTGAGCCCGAGGAGGACGAGAGCGATAGCCCAGACAACGTGAGAGTGAGCAAAGGGGAGGAGAAAGAACAGCATAGCGAAAACAGCAGCGACGATGCCGAGGAAGGCCCCGACACCGAGAATGCCCAGGAGGAGGAGGTGGAGGACGACGACTCTGTTGGACATCTTCCCACCGACGGCGCGCCCATGCTGCCCCCAGCTGCCGACTCGGAAACGTTTGACCAACTGAAACTGTCGGAGAAGACGATGAAGGCCATCGCAGAAATGGGCTTCACCAAGATGACTGCCATCCAGAGGGCTGTATGTGACTGATTATTCCTTTCTGAGCCGCTCGGCTGTGACGTCGCTGTGATGTCGCTGTGAGGCAGCCGGCTAATGAACCGACAGGCTATCCCACCGCTGCTGGCGGGCAAAGATGTTCTAGGTGCGGCCAAGACGGGTTCCGGCAAAACACTTGCTTTCCTGATTCCCGCGATCGAGATCCTCAGCGCACTGCGATTTAAGCCAAGAAACGGCACTGGCGTCATTGTCGTCTCGCCCACGAGAGAACTAGCCCTTCAGATTTTCGGCGTCGCTCGCGAGCTTATGCAGCATCATTCTCAGACATATGGCATTGTTATTGGAGGCGCAAACAGAAAGGCAGAAGCAGAGAAGCTGTCCAAAGGCGTGAATCTGCTGATTGCAACTCCCGGCCGACTCCTCGATCACCTACTGAACACGCCGTTTGTGTTCAAGAACCTCAAGTCGCTGGTCATTGACGAAGCAGACCGCATTTTGGAAGTTGGGTTCGAGGACGAGATTCGTCAAATCGTCAAGGTTTTGTCCAACGACGACCGACAGACAATGCTGTTTTCCGCCACACAGACCACCAAAGTCGGTAAGCAGCGCCTGGAGCCAAAGAAGCCGGAGACACACGTGCACGCTGATGGGCTAACCCGCAAATGTAGAGGATCTGGCAAGGATATCACTGCGACCCGGGCCCCTGTACATCAATGTCGACGAGGAGAAGCAGTTCAGCACCGTGGACGGCCTCGAACAAGGCTACGTCCTTTGCGACGCCGACAGGCGATTTATCCTGCTCTTTTCATTCCTGAGAAGAATGAGGGACAAGAAGAAGAAGGTGATTGTTTTCTTCAGCAGCTGCAACTCTGTCAAGTACTACTCTGAGCTCCTCAACTACATCGACTGCCCGGTGCTGGATCTTCACGGCAAGCAGAAGCAACAAAAGCGAACCAACACCTTTTTCGAGTTCAGCAACGCCGAGCATGGCATCTTGATCTGCACCGACGTTGCTGCTCGAGGTCTTGATGTGAGTGAATGGATGAATCGACGCGCGGTTGACCCCGTTTGAGGCGCTGACGCGACTGCACAGATCCCTGCGGTAGATTTCATTGTGCAGTTCGACCCTCCGGACAACACGCGCGACTATATTCACCGCGTCGGCCGCACAGCCCGTGGCGCCAACAACAAGGGCCGCAGCCTCCTGTTCCTGCAACCCAACGAGGTTGGCTTCCTGTCGCACCTCAAGACTGCGCGCGTGCCCGTGGTCGAGTACGACTTTCCCACAAAACACATCAAGAACGTGCAGTCGCAGCTGGAGAGCCTCATCGGAAAGAACTACTACCTTCAACAGAGCGCCAAGGAGGCGTTCAAGTCATACCTCCACGCGTATGCGTCGCACAGCCTGAGATCGGTGTACGACGTGCACAAGTTGGACCTGGTGCGGGTAGCCAAGAGCTTTGGGTTCACGGCCCCGCCGCGGGTCGACATCAACCTGGGGCAGTCCATGAGCAGGAGCAGGACACAGGGCAGGCGGTCGTATGGCAGCCAGCCTCGCCAGCCTGTCAAGCGAGGGGGCCGAAGATGATGGACTGCGTGCGTGGCTGGGAGCTGGGGCGTTTTGGCGTGATGCAATGCTGTTGTTGGTTGCTGCCTCAGCACGGAAGTACTCCGTAGAATGTGTGATTCCAGGACCCACGATTTCATGTCAAGTAGGAGGACTAGTTGCTTCCCGTGACCACGGCGATGGACGGAGCAGTGCCACTGCCTTGCTCCGCACACCACCACTCAAACACTTGAGAGTACACACGATGTTTCTCCAGGTCTCGCCTACTACGTGACTGACGCGCGAAGTAATTGGTGGGCAGGTACGCCTTCGGCTCACGCGGCGGCAAGAAGTGGCTCCACGCGCACGCCTACTACGCCGAGGACGAGTTCTGGGCGCACTACGACCGAGCCTCGCACGACGCCCTGAGGGAGCGCTACGCCGCCGCCTACCTGCCCAGCGTCTACGACAAGGCCAGCGTCGACGTGGCCGCCGAGGAGGCGCGGAGGTCCAGGAGCTGGGCGGCGAGGGCGCGAGCCCGCCTCGGACACGTCTGGCCGCTGCCGGGGCTTGGGGGGTTTTGGGCCGCGGCCAGAGGCGGCGACTATCTCATGGCCGGCGGGAACATGCAGGCGGGGCAGAGGGGAGCGTGTGTGTCGTCGGGATACTATACTCATGTGGGAAACGAGCACGCGGGCGAGCGATGCGTCTTTGATACACCGTGAAGAGGCGCCGTGATACATTTCCGTTGAGAGCCAACAGCCGCCGTCAAGTCGTGATATTCGTCACGTGTGAAGCCACTTTCCAAACTCGATGCCTGCTCCCAACCACGAGGGGGTCAATCGTGTCGGAAACTGCCCTGGTCCGTCTTGCGTCTGCCGCTCATCTCCTTCATCGTCTTGGTCGCCTGGTCGGCAACTTGCTGGACAACCTCCTCCGCCGCCTGGCTACCGGCCGCCAGGTCGCGCAATTCCGCCTGGCTCGGGTTCCTGGCGTCTGTCTGCTTGGCCCTGTCCACATCCACCTTGGGGGTGGTGAGATACGCGTACGCTGCGACAGCAGCGAGAGCCGCGCCGCCGATGGGCACCCTTTTATTTTTTTTCACGTTAGCCAAGCCCAACCCTAACCCTGGGGACAGTCACCTCTCCTTCTCGCCGCCGCCCCGGGGAAATTCAGGCGTGATTACCAGTTTCTCTTGACGGCTTCGGGACCGCCTGGATTGGGCGGCGGGGGCTGCTGTCCGCCCGGGCCGCCGAGATCGCCGTCACCTCGTGTCACCTTGCGTCGAAGCTGAGGCAGGCTGGCCCGCGAGGCCGCCGGGCGTGTGCTGTGCCGCAGCAAGCCGGTCGCGGTCGGGACTTTGGGGAGTGCCATGCTGGGCTGTGCTCGAACCTCTCGTTGGAAGAGGGGTTTGGTGTGAAGCGGAAGAGGCGAAGCTCGGATGCTGGGCTTGTCGACGTTTAAATGATGTTCCGTCCGGGCCGGCCGTGGCGACATTGCATGATGCGCCTATGACGAGGCGGCTCGCCCGCTTCTTCCTGCCGCCAATCCTGCCCTGTCCCGTCTCGTCTTCTCCTCTGTGGTGCGTTCTCCCTCGCCGACTGCTGTTCCTCGGCCCGTCTCATCTCATGACGACTCCTCGCCACGGCGCGGAAACGGACATGGCAACTGCTCCTCCTCGCTGCTCGTCCTACGTCAAATCGTCAAAACATACGATGGGCACATGTCTGGTTCAAGGAGTCGTTTTAACCACGGGGTACATACAACATTCATCCCGCACGTGGTCTGGTCCAATCAAGGAGCTGTGTTGACCACGTCGGGTACATCAGATGCGCCGACCGCCCAGCCCCACCTCTTCCACACGTGACTACTCGCCAACAACCACACTCAACACTCGTCCTGGCGAACAATGACATTCCACTTGCGAATGGTAAACACCTGTCCCGCCACATATCGATCCGCCGCGCCGCTTCCCGTCGCGCACTTCCACAGGATCAGCTGTGCGCTGTCGGCAATGTCGTTCCAGCTATTGATCACCGTTGCCCAGGGAGCCTAGCCGCCGTCAGAAAGCCAGCCCATTGACGTTTTTCTCCCTGCACCGTTTTGGGGGGGGGGGGGTTGTTCCGTCAGAGGGAAGGAAAACTCACGTCGTTGCACCACCATATCGATGCCTGCCAGGAGCAGCTGACTCGGCCGCAGGACCGCGGCCCGGGGCCGTTCCTCGGGTGCCCGAGCTGGCTGCGGAGGTGGTTGATTCCCTCTTGGACCCGGCGCGCCTTGCACGGGCGCCAGCCGCGAGTGCCTGGGCCGCAGAAGGCCGTGCTCCAGGCATACATGCCCGAGCGCTTCGCGAGGTCCTCGGGCTCGGCGGGCGAGGACGGGAGTCGCCAGTCGGGGTTTATGGCTCTGGCTGCGTCGTGGACTTGCTCTACCGTGCCCGTCAGGTTCTCGACGCGCCCCGGGAGTACTTCCACCTCCCAGGTGAGGTCGACCACGTCGTACCCGGGGATGGGTGCTTCCCTGAGCCCTGCGAGGACCTAGGTTGTCCGTGTGAGCGTGTCATGGCCGCCCAGGGGGGTTGGGAATTCAACGCAAAAGATACCTGGGGCGAGAGCAGCAGAATGGCGGCAATCAGACTCTTGAGCATGGCCATCTCGAAGCCTACGTGGACAAGCGCGCTGCTCTGCTTCGTGTCTGGTGTTTGGCGTTGACCTCGTCGCGGGTGCGCGGTACGGTCACGACGAAGCTGGGGTGCCTGCGGACAGGTAGCATCTGTTGTGATTGCGATGCTCCTGCAGTGTGAAGGATTTTATTCTTCGCAGCGCTCGGGATGGTCTGACTTGTCCCGTGGCACAGTCGTTCACGGCTGGCGAATTGGCCCCGGCCACGGCTGGCGTTGGCGCCGCGAGCGAGGCCTCCCTGGAAATGGCATGGCGCAAGTGCAAGCATTGTCGACGGCGGGCACGTAGCCTCGCCGGAGGCACCGAGTGTCTGGCTGTTGGTTTGATGGGAAGGACCGGGCTGGAGAGACGTGTTGGCCACGGGCTGGGCGAGGATGGATGGGGCAACGTCGCAATGTCGGTGCGGCGGCAACTGGAAGAATTCACGTCGTCTCTCATTGTTGCTCCTTTGCTGAAGCTTCTGCACCAAGACGCCGCTCAGGATACAGATGTGCTTGTTCGTGCCGCCGGCGCCTCTTGCCCCATGCCCTATGAACCGGCAACTTGACGGGCCTCAAGCCGTCAGGTTGAGTTTGAGTGGCGCACTCTTCGCGCCCCGTCAGCCAACGCACTGGCGCACCGTCGCTGATTAGTCTGGGCATGGAAGCCGTGAGTGAAGTCTAAGTGAACAGCGCACGGAACATGAAAACCCTATGCGCGAAAAAAGAATACGAAAAAAAGAAATCAAATGAAATACAATAAAAGCATACGTGGCGCCAAGAGCACATTCACCAGCGTCCGGCATCCGGCGCCAGCGCCAAGACGCGGGCGGAGCGGCGCCGCTCCGTGAGCCCCCACCAAACAGACTGACGGTCTCTGGTGCTCCGGAAGCCAGTCGGGCGGGATCGGCGCCACGACGTGCCGTCGTCTCTTGGCATTTGTGCTCAGAACCTGTCAATCTCGGCCCGGTTCGGGCTCAGCTTGGCAAAGCGGTTCTTTTGCATGGAGGAATCTGGGAATCCGGACCGATTGTTGATCTGAGCTTTGTCGTTGTTCGGGTCTGACGGCGTCTTTGACCTGGGAACATGTCGCTCCAGGGATGCACGTCTCTCGCAGCAGTTTGGCGACCGTCGGAGATGAAAAAGTCCCAGCAGCGAGCTGCTCGCTGAGTTTACAACCCCTCGACTCTTCGTCAAAAATGGGCAGGCAAAGTCGACGATAGCTTATACGGTCCAAAGTGTACCTGGGCCATCTCCGTCAAGTTGGGCCGATTATCATTAAGGTATCTTGGCGGGAAATGGCCAAGTACATGATATTCTACATATGAGTTTGTATATACTAGCTGTACATGATGACACAAGAAACCCGGAAAAAAAAAGAAGCCTGCTCAAAGAGTTCCGCGCCATATAATCAACACTGACCCAAAAACCTGCCCAACCATTTACACTTCGCAGGCGCTGGCTGCACCATGATGGACTGCAGTCTGTTATAGGCACGCATCTTGTCAGTCAAATAATAATGGAGCTGAAAATCATAATGCGCCGCCGAGCTATCAACCTACACAAACGTCTCAAAGGGCACACCACGCATCGTGGTTCTGACGCCATCCTGGTCCAGATTCCAGAGTTGAGGCTCAAAACTGACCGACGCCCAGCCCCGGAGCAGCTCGCGCCAGTAGCACGCCTGCGATGCCGGCGTCAAGTACCGGTCCCTGAATGTGTCGACGCCGTTTTGGGCAATCTTCTTGGCCCGGTCCGGGTGGGCGAGCAGGTCCGTGACCTTGGCTTCCAAGTCGGAGAAGTCCTCGGCCACCTCGACAAAGTTCTGCTTGGGACCATCAGCAACCAGCAGCGCGTGGTGCGGCTCGATCCACATCCGCTTGTGCATTATGACAACCGAGTTGCAGTTCTGGAGATACTTGCCCCGGCCAGAATAGCTATGCCCTGTCCTTGTTGGTTAGTGCTGCATCCCGCGAGCATCTGCCCGCCCGGCCATACCATACACCTACCTTCAGTGTGGATGACAAACTGGTATTTACAATGGTCTGCCATTGACAAGGCCTTCTCTTGGTCTTCCGAGACGAGGTCGCTGATGCCTGCCCACACAATCGCTCGGACGTCGGCCCAGTCCTTGTCCTTGGTCACGTTGATCAGCTCCTCTCGGTGGCTGTTGGTGGCCACGGCGCCTCTCCAGACGGCCTTGTTCGTCTTCTGTTCAAACTTGACCTCGGCCTCTGCGACTTTTCGTCGCACCTCGTCGTACGCTCCCACGAGGTCCAATGGCCAGCTCCAGTAGCCAAAGTCGCCCATGAGCCATATCTCCTCGTCTTCAGCCTTGCGTGTGAGGCCCCAGATGGGGTAGTTGTTCCCCCCCGGATCCGGTACCACGTCGGCCACCGTGAAGACGAACTCAATGTTGGGTAGAGGTTCAGGGGACGTTATGATGGCTCTGTGGATGGCGTGCAAGACGGCAACTGCTCGCGTGGTATCGTACTCGTTTTCCAGGATTGTCTCCTGGAGAATGTAAAGCTGGAGCCGAGGGTCAATTGAGTCGTGTAAGAATTAGTCGTGACGTGAGGAAAGGCGGCACATACCTGCTGGTCGACAATCAAGCCTCGCAGCGCTCCCCTACCGCGCTCACTTATGTTGAGTTGCTTGGGAGTGATGTTCCCTATCGCTTTCTGGGCAGCGACTCCGCGCTCAATCTCTACAAAAAGACCAGGAAAGGCCATGTTGCACTGCTCGGAATCGAGGGAGTAGCTGTTGGCGTCGCGCAGGGGGTCGAACCTCCACTCTCTGTTTTTTGGTGACACAGGAGCCGCATTGAGGATGCTGCTTCCAAGCTTGCCCTTGCCGTCAAAGCTGGGCAAATGGTCCTCGAGGGAAGGCAGCACGTTTGGCAGGCGGTCGAGATAGGATGGTCGTCGAGACAGGACTGTGGCAATGGAAAGGAGGAAGAGCAAGGCCGCGAGAATGGCGATACCGGAGAAGCAGAATCGTTTCTTGAACACCACAAGGGGACCCATGATGGGCGGCTAAGGCTGGTCCTCAGTCAGGTCCTCAGGCCCGGGGCTGGTATCGCGAGGCGGATCAAACGGGGATGGCCATGGGGTCGAGTTGAGAGGAGGAAGCGGTGGTCTTATTTTGGCGATGACGGTGATGGCGACGGATGGTGAAGAATGATCAAAGTGGTAGAAAAAGGCTTCCGATGCCGACTCTGAGCGGCCCAGCAGGCACCAGGCGTGGCCTGTTGACTCTTTTGCCCCGTCTGGCGCCTTGCAGCCTTACGCTCCCTCCCCATTCTCCTGCAGGCCGTAGAGAGCATGTACTACCACCAAAGCCCCAGCCGTGGCGTTTCGAATGCAGGCTGATAAGGAATACGAAATAAAGTGCCTCAAGTTGCTCTTCCTGTCGCTCCCGCGTCCAACGAGAAACAAGAATGCACAATGAACAGGCTTCAAGAACAATGACAGCCAAAAACGTTGCTCGACGGCCCCACCTTACATGATACTGCAACCTCGGGGCGCATTTGAACCGCTGCCAACCCCGGCCCGTGACCCGGTCGGGTTTAGCGCCTGATTGACTGCCCCCAGTGCGCCAAACTATTATTGTATTTTATTTTTTGTTGCTCATTGTACTCGGTAAGTCGGTCTGAAGTCCGCCAAGTACCTGGGTAGTTGCCGGCAAGATGCGCCCACGTTCGGCATCAGGCGTTCTCAACTCGCACGTGCGGCCTCGTCGGCAAGGGCACTGCTGCAGTGAGTATTAAGTCCAAGTACTCAAAGTACCTGGACGCGGTGTTGCAGTGCGGATTCTATGTGAGTGGATGCCCGACAAAGCAGTACCCGGCAGGTACCTACTTACCAACTACATTGTCAAGTACTCCCACGCACCGTACGGACACTGTATAACAGCCGGAAGCAAAACGCCTCCTGATTTCTCCGGCTTGCCTCACGGGAAGAAAACCCAGATCTTACGGAGTATTCTGGTTGTCAACTCTGGGCCGAGTACTTAAATAGCTATGACTAGAACAAAGTAGCGTCATGGCTTTGTTCCACGACGTCCAACGTATTGACGTTCCCCTTTTCTAGTTTTCCGCGCTTTCCCGGCGCCCCGCCAATGGCTGTAAAACTCAAACCCATCGGGCCAGACGGGCCAGACCCGGATTTGAGATTTTCCAGGTGGGCTTTCTGCAAGCCTGAAGAGCCGTAGCCGTGCCTCGGGACTCCGCGGAGAGCGGCGCTCAATCCCCGCAGCAAACAAAGACCATCTCTCAAAACTCAAAAAACGCCCGCCTTCGTGGCATGATCCCATCATCACCGCCACCGCCAGACTTCTCTCCGAAGTGGTGAGGCATCGCAACGGCTGCACCCCTGGAAGATGACGAATCTCTCCGTCCGCGGCGTAGCATCGAGGCCAACGGCCACGCAAGCGACCGGCGTCTGCTTCCCACCGCCTCGGCCCTGGAGTCGCTGCCCAGGTAAGTTGTTGAGCAAAAACGAGCGATTCTGGGCCGCCCCGATGCATGATACCCGTGGCTGATCAAGTCTATCGAGCATCCAGGGTCCCCCGGTCGCCCTCGGGCTCAAAATCGCGACCGTGACGTGACGCACCAGTGGCAAGAAAATGCGCGCCAATCCCTCCACAGCGAGCCGTTGCAAATTCCAAATCAGGACGTAGCGACGTCTTGTCCAGTCATCTCTTGCCCTGACCAAAGTCGGCTCGGGAGAACATCAACTCTCCGCTTCCACATAGAAAGTTTGAACGCAATGACACGAAGACGATTCGCCCAACTGGCCAGATGATTGTACGCGCAACGTGCACAGTCATCCACGACGTCATGCTAGGCCTTCACATGCGCCGCGCTAGAAGCGGCTAACACATGTGACGATGTGACAGCGCGGAGACCCCGGCTCAATGCACAAAGGGCACTCGCTCACTGCCTTATAAAGCCCCCCCAGGGCGAGCAACAACAACTTTGCTCACAACAAGGCGAAATCCTCCAACGTTTTTACCGCCGTTGGCCCCAAAATCCGCTGCAAAACGACAGCCAAGATGACTGTTGAAAGAAATCCCAAAGACTCCATGAAGTCCACCTGGCGCCAGAAGGATCGCTCAGAGTGGACCATTTTCCACTGGGCCTACGACATCTTCGACATCCACCCAGTAGAACTCAACAAGGCCGTGCCGGTGCATGCAAAGACAGACAAAGTGCCGTACCTGACTGATTGGCGCCAGCACCGGTGGATTCTCGTCCACGCCTTTATGCCCATCGCGCTGCACCACCTGTACGTCCTATACACGGGGCACAACCTCGCGGCCTGGCAGGCAGGACTTCTGTACAGCGTCGCCTTTAACCTCAACGCCATCCGCGAGCTTCATATCCTGCGCGCACTCGGACACAAGTTCGGATTCCTCGACGGCGACGTACACGAGCGCGACGGCGTGCCCGACGTCAGCGTCAGCAAAGTCCTGTACTCCCTGCTCCTGACGTCCTTTGTCAGGCCAGCATTCACCGTCTTCATCGGCTACGACACTCGCAAGCCGCCTGCCTCCATGGCGCTCCTCTGGCTCCCATTCGAGACGGGCTGCTACGGCATTATTCTCGACTTCTTCTTCTACTGGTACCACCGGCTGATGCACCAAGTTGACGGGCTCTGGAAGTTCCATCGCACCCACCACCTTACCAAGCACCCCAACCCGCTGCTGACGCTATTCGCCGACCCAGAGCAAGAGATATTTGATATTGCTGGAATACCACTAATGACATACTTTGCCATGAGGATAATGGGCTTCCCGATGGGCTTCTACGAGTGGTGGATCTGCCACCAGTATGTCGTCTTTGCCGAGTTGGCAGGGCATAGTGGTGCACGCATCGTTGCCACGCCGCCAAACATGTTCAACTGGTTCCTGAGGGTGCTAGATGCGGAGCTTATCCTCGAGGATCATGATTTGCACCACCGAAAGGGCTGGAAGAGCAGCGCCAACTATGGGAAGCAGACGCGGCTCTGGGACAGAGCTTTCGGCACCTGTCGCGACCGCATCGAATGCGAGGAAAATAACATTGATTACGAAAATCAAGTTGATTTTCCCATCATTTGAGATGGAGCGAGGGAGATGTTTGCAAAATGAAATATCTCTAGACGTTCCTGGGCAAGGGCTTTGCCTTCGATATCGAGGCAAAGGGTGGACCTGGAACATTTTCAATACGTGGAGGCGGTGACCGCCCACGACAAGCGAGGATGATGACCATTCCACTCCCGTGACACAATCCACGCGACCGACGGCAAGGCAAGGCAGGCTGCCGTAGCCCGCTTGCGAGCCGCTCCCCGGTTTACAGTACAAGGGAAGAATATGCTCGACACCGCCAAGGGCTTCTGCCAAGTCCGCGATAGTGGTTGGGAGGATGCGCGCGAGGCACATGAATTTATGTCGATTTTAGAATGCACGGGTAACTGAGGATAGATTGGTTACATATCGTTGCTTGGTTGCGAAACCATTACGTGGGATGAACTGATAATATGCCATGCCAATGTATAGTGTGATTAAGAAAAAATATAGAAATATATAGAAGATGTTTACATTTGCAACGCTGCTCTTTCCCCTGGAGCAATCTTATTCACGAGAATAGTAGTCTGGCCATACCAGATCACAAATCAATCACGAAACGTGTGTATTGAGCGAAGCCAAACCAATGCACTCACTTCATCTTGGCCTGGCCACTTGGGCCCTGGGCCATGCTGCACCCCTGACCGAAGCACAGAGAATAGCTGGGGCGAGCCAATGCCGTCCCGGACAGATGATGTTCGGTGGGTGCTCTGACACCGCGTGCGCCGGGCCGCCTCGGAGACAAAGGTCAGCTTGGAACCGAGACTTCGAGGCACTGTACTCCGCAAGTGAATGCCTATCCTGACATCAAGTCTGTCTTTGCGTCCGGGCAAGGGCAATGGGGGTAGAGTTTCCACCAAGGGTAAATATAGAACATGTTGTATGTCCTGTCGTGCTCGCGTGACTATACGCTGTCTGCTGGAAACTCCCCACCACAGCCGCAGCGTCATGTAAAGAGCAGAAAGTCGAAGCTGGCGGCGACAACCACGTTGGATTTGGATCCGGCAGAGTTGTCGGGCTGACCGACGACGGGCTCACATCAAGATTGAGTGGTCAGCAGCTCAATCTTGTCCAAAGTTGAAAGCCGACGCAGACTTGGGAGCTAGACGGTGGGTGAATGGGCAAGCCCGTTGCGCTAGTGAAGCTTATGTCGTGTTGTTGAGACCAGACGGCCAAGCCACGCACAACCTCGCGCCGCCTTCATTTGCCATCGGCCAGTCGAAAGCTGTCGATGGACTGGCTTCTCCAGCCATGATTTTAGGGGGGGGGAACAAAACACCAAGCTTGGACGAAGCTCCAGAGGCGAAACTACAACGTCCATCCTGGCCGCGCCGTGTTGGAAACATCCCCTGGCTTCGACGCACGAAAGCACGCTGCAGCCTCTGGCGTCCCAAGGTATTCGAACTCGAGAGCGCATCTGGACACTCCCCCTGCTCCTTCGCAGTGAATGTAGTCGCCGAGTTAGGCGTGTACACGGCTCGAGTTGACGACGTCCGTGTCCGCCAAGTTTCTCGGAGTGTCACGAGGGCAGCACCAGGCGGCACGTCCGGGAAGCCCACGGGTCGGCGCAGTTTACGCATGAGCATTTTCGACGTGGTTTTTTCTTTTCAGAACAGGGCCCGGCGACCCCAACCCCCATGTCGACCCTGCACGAGATGGAGCGAAGGTTCTCTGAAGCCCAGGTTCCTCCTTTTCCGGTTTCCGAGCCGATGTAGGGCTAACCATCTTACATATCCCAGCCGCTGGTGGCTCGTGTCGTCCGTGTTCCCCATGATCGCGGGAACACTTGGACCGGTAGCGTCGGCGTTTAGCATCTGCGCCTTGAGCCAGTCGTGGGTGCAGCACAGTCCTCCTGGCACCGGTGTGAGCGATGCGACTCTCGTGTCCGACCCGGCCTGGTGGGTATCTTCGCAAGAAGCCGCGAGGCAAGGCACACGTTCCGCTGACATGGTCTGCGCCAGGCTGACGACCGTAAGAGCCCTGCAGCTATGCCTCGCGCTCGTGTCCAACATGTTCCTCCTGCTAGATGTGACGAGAAAGGTTCGCTTCACCATTGCGGAGCCAATCGCAATAATAGGCTGGTAAGCCGCTATCGTTCCACGCGTCAAAAGGTACGCAGGCTTGACCGTCCGTTCAGGTACGCGTCCGCCGTTTGCTTCGTGTGTCTCGATGCCGTGGCGTCGGGGCCCCTGCTCGACAGCCTGGGGCTCTCTGGAGACGACAGGATGTGGTCGCAGGCTTTCTACTACGGGATTTGGTCTGCGGTGCTGTACTTTGTCGCCGCGTCAGTTCTGGCCATCACGTTCTGGGGCGCGCTGCACGGCCGCCGCGGGGAGGACTTCAATCTCAGCCGCGGCCAGCGGACGCTCGTGCTGCAAGCCATGCTGTTCCTCACGTACCTGCTCCTGGGCGCCCTGCTGTTCTCCAGGCTCGAGGAGTGGGATTATCTAGACGGCGTCTATTGGGCGGACGTGACCCTCTTCACCATCGGCTTCGGCGACATGGTCCCCACGACGGTGCTTGGCCAGGCGTTGCTGATCCCCTATGTGCTCGTCGGAATCACCAGCCTCGGCATCGTCGTCAGCTCCATCCGGAGCATGATAGTCCAGCGTGGAGGCCAGCGGCTCGACGCCCGGGTGGACGAGAAAAGTCGTCGCAACGCCCTGCAGAAGGTTCTCCGCAGGGGGAAAGGCGACATGCTGATCCCGCTCGAGGGAGGAGGTGAACCTCTCGCCGACCTATACGCCCGGGAGCTTGAGCGGCGCCGCGGCGAGTTTGAGTTGATGCGCGCCATACAGAAACGGGCGTCGTCGCGGAGGAAATGGGCGGCAATGCTCATATCCACCGTGTGCTGGCTCGGTCTGTGGTTCTGCGGCGCCGTCGTCTTTTTCAAATGTGAGAAGGCGGCCCAGGCTTGGACGTACTTTGACGCTGTCTCCTTTTGTTTCATATCGCTGACGACAGTCGGGTACGGCAATCTGGTCCCCAAATCGAATGCCGGCAAGTCGTTTTTCGTTTTTTGGTCCTTGATTTCCCTGCCGATTCTCACCATCCTCATATCGAATGCCGGAGAAACGGTTGTCAGGGTCGTCAATGACATCACAATCCGGGCGGGAAGCATCACTATCCTTCCTGGGCGCGGAAGCTTCCGCCACAACCTGAAGCAACTCGCTCGTCAGCTGAGCTGTGGCTATTCGTGCCCCGATTCTGCCGTGGATACGAGTTTCGATTTGGAGAAGGGAACGGCTCGACAACACCGAGCTCCGGAGGCCAGGGCGCCGAAGCTGAAGGGTAGGGATGGCCCAAGCCATGGCACTGAGAATGGGACTTTTCAAACCTCTGTTTCCCAGTCTGAGAGCCCGGTATCGCCGCGAAGCCATCCACCATGCCAGACTATGTCATCGCGACGTTGTGCTGACATTTGCGGAGCCGAGCTCGACGACAATCTTCCCACTGGGGATGACTTGCACCTCCTCCTCGTATCTGAGATTCAGGCCGTGGCAGAAACCATTCGCAAAGATAGGCGTCGAAGATACACGTTCCAAGATTGGGTGTGGTATTTGCGCTTGATGGGTGAGGATGAGCGCGACCCAGACGCTCATCGTGAGACGAGGCCGACAGAGCGACCGAGGATCTTGGACAAGTTCCTTCCGGCAAGGACGAAGACGCTGCGGAGTCGGCGAACTTCGCGGCATCGTGGTGAAGACGCCGAGTCTGGGACTGAGCAGAGCCGGCAGCCAGAGGAACACGACACCCGTTCGTTGAAGTGGTCGTGGGTTGGAGACCAAAGCCCCCTGATCAGTGGGAAAGAGGAGAGCGAGTGGATTTTGGAGATGCTGATGGAAAGGTTGAGGGCGTTGCTGAGGGAAAGCAGCAGACAGCATCAGGATACCGGGCCAGAATCGTCATGACTTGATCTTGGCTGCCAGACTATCAAATGGTATGACGGTCTGTCCATATTCCGTCGCCGCATTATTCCAGACGGGACTGTCCAATAGAACGCTGTTATCAAATGTCCGCAGAAGCTTCCTCTTGTCTATGATGCGAGGAGAGCAGATACCACGAGAGATGGACTTTTGTGCATGTAGCTGCGGCGTCTTGGCATCGGAATGGCTTTGAAACAGTCTGAAAGTGTCCCTGCATTCATCACCACCCTTGTATCCGCAGAGTTGTCGATTCGGATTCGATTTCAAGGTTCAATGTTGGCGAGGGACTCCTTTGGCCAACGTGACCTGCGGGATTGGACCCAATCAACAAAACCAAAATGCAAGCGCAGACGCTGTTGAATGGACAGGTTCTGGGCGCAACGGTGCACATTGATGTACATTACAGGCGCGACATGTTCTGTTCGCCCGGCGTATCAGGCAATTTGAACACGCGCTTCGCGTTTCCTCCCATGAAATCACGAACAACATCTTCCCTTAGTCCAGTCCCCGTTCCCGTGCCCAGGGACTTGACCGAGTCAACACACGCCTTCCATCCAAGTTGCGGGAAATTGGTTCCAAACATGACCTTGCTGCGTCCTGTCGTGTTGGCAAAGACGAAAAACTCGGGCGGGTAGTATTTCGGCGACCATGCGCTGGTATCGATGTAGACATTTTCATGTTTCCAGGCAACTGACACGGCCTCGGCCATCCACGGATATCCCAGGTGACCGCCGACAATTTTCAGGGCAGGGAACTCCAAGGCAAGCTCGTCAATGTAGGGAATGGGCCGGCCAACGTCGCTGGGACGCAGAGGGCCAGTGTGCCCAATCTGCGTGCAAAAGGGAACATCGAGCTCGATGCACTTGACGTAAAGGGGCCAGTAGTGGGCGTCAGTGGGGGGCAGATTCCACAGCCAGGGCACGACTCGTAGCCCTTTGAAGCCTTCGGCCCGGACGTAATGCTCCAGCTCCCTGACCGCGGAGACGGGGTCGTGGAGATTGACTGATACCAGACCGAATATGCGGTTGGGGTACGCGCGGGTGTACGTGGCGACCTGGTCGTTGGAGAATATGGTTGAGCCGGGTCGGTTCCACGCTGCGAGGAGGATCTGGGAAACACCGGCGTCGTCCATCTTCGCAATCAGCTCGGCGGGGGAGTGCCGGCGGTTGGCGAGGCCGGTATCCGAATGACTCTGTGCAAAGAGTCGTGCTGTTTCTGGGACATGAATCTGAGTACGGCGACTGGTGTTAGGAGACGCGACTCCATCACGAGGCCGACGACGAAGCTGCGGTTGCATCGACGAATGAATGGATGTCACTTACGCCGGGAGGGTTTGCCCATACATCAACAATAGGCATGTCCATTTTCGACACTTTTTGTGATGACGACGACGACGAACTGGTGCTTCCAGGGCAGGGCTGTGTCCAACCGAGGTTGACATTGGCATCAGCCCAGATTCGATAGAGAGCGCGGGGGTCATGACCCTAACCCTGCGTCCTGGCCAAGACGCCGCCCGGGGTCTCGGTCTGGATTTACGAAGGTCTGTCTCCCCAATGTCCACCGTGTTTTGCCAGAAAGTGAGCGCACAGCATCAGAGTTGACCGCCAAGTCCACGCCGGCTGTAGGCCAATGTCTCGCTCGTACTGACAAAATGGGCCATGGCAGCTGACACGTCGCCTGCGAGGCGCCTCCTCACCCTTGGCCAAGCCCTGCCTACCTCCGGTGTCGTTTCCCAACGTGTAAGCAGGATAAGCGGCCGGCGTGTCCAAGGGATCAAAGTTCAAACCAGAACATGTCAACACCAACAAGCCATCCGGCAGTCGACGTAGATCAGGGAATGCCTCGCAATCGACCAGCTGGGCAGCGACGCCGTCGATGGGCTCCCAAGGTGAAAACAGGCTGCGTCACGTGTCGGTACGTTCTGCCCGTTGCCCGCAGCTCGCTCCTCTCCCGCTTCCTCTCGCGAGACTGAGCTTGGCGAGCACGAATCGCTGCTGCTGACCACGAGAGCCTTGCGCAGCGCCCGCCGCATCAAATGCGACGAGAATTGGCCCTCGTGCACACGCTGCACGTCCGCCCGTCGGCCGTGCGAGCGATATCGTGGCCCGGCTTCGCCCGCCACCAGATTGACCTCCCAGCCCACGCACAGCATGACGCCCATCTACGCACAGTCAACACCACGCGAGAAATACCTCTTCCACGTGTTCTGCACCGAGACCGCCCTCCGGCAAGAGCCGGGGTCCGACAGCTTCGAAGGCACCTTTTGGTCCGTCGATGTCCCGCAGGCCTGCCACGCGCATCCCGCCGTCTGGCATTCCGCCCTCGCAATCGCCTCGATGCAAACACGGCCGAGAGCCGTGTGCACCCGAGGCCACGGCGCAGCTCAGCCTTGCGCTGACGACGACGCCGCCTTCAAGCAGTACACGAAAGCCATCGGCCATCTCATGCGGGCGACGCAAAACACACACCCCAGCTTCCAGGACCAGTCGCTCATCCTCATGGCCACCGTGCTCCTCCTGGGCTTCGCCAGTCTAAGAGGCAACTTCAACGAGGTCAAGTTCTTTGCCGGCCACGGCATCCGGCTCTTCACAAACTGGCGCTTCCGCGATGAGGCAGAAACCTGGAAGTCGTCGGCGCGAAGCAACCTCATCTCCGTCACCTCTCTCATCTCCCTGCTCGACCACCTGCTAGTCCAATACACTTGGGCGTGCAAAGCCTCGGACCTGCCCCGACAGGCGTACACCACCTCCGCCGCGCCGAAACGGCCCTTCCAAAGCATGACAGAGGCACACCACGAGTACCAAGCGTTGCAGCTCCATCGGTTCGAGCTGCTGCGCGCGCGAGCACTCGGCTCCGTGACCGGGGACTGGCGGCCATTCCGCTACTTCCATGAGGCCTGGCTCGCCAGGTCATCCGCCTGGAAGGACAAGCTCGCCCAGACCAGACGGCAGAGTGAGCATCAAGGCGACGACGCACCGCTGAGGCCGTCGCTGATTCTGCAAATGGGGCTCGTCGGGCTGCAGATATGCGCTCAGGTGGGACCCGGCACCGACGAGCTCTACTGGGACAGGTTCGCCTCGAAATTTAGACGCATTGTCGACATTGCCGAGAGGATTTTCCACGGAAAGACAGACTCCCGGGGCCAGCGGCCGGCACGCCCCGTATTCACATTTGGCCCCTCGCAGCTCGGGGTATTGTACATGGTTGCGTCGGCGTGCCGGGAGCGCGCCACGCGCGCGAGGACCCTGGCGTTGCTGCAGGGGCTGAAGCAGAGAGATGGCCTGTTGGACAGCGGGCTGTTCGCGGCCCTGTCCGAGGCAAAGATGCGGATTGAGGAAACGGGCAGAGAGCTGGTCGGCTTGGCGGAGCCCAAGACCTGTACTTGCATTCCCCGGGAGTACATCTGCCGGCACCATAGAGTGAGGGACGTCGGGATAGAGTTCTTGGACAGCGGCTTGGCAAGGCTAGACATTCAGACGTTTGACGGCGATGACGCGCAGGCTCCGCGCACGAAGTCGCTAACTGTGCGTTGGAACGGGAGCTGATGGCAAGGGACGTGGTCGTGACGTGCTGGCTGCCGCTCTGTGACGAGGGAATTTTATTTGTAAAAGTGCAGAGGGCGACGAGAGCAACGTGAGCCCAGCTTTACAGCAACGTGCGCCATTGCGAAGAGCATATCAACTACTTTCCAAGAATTCCTCAGCTCTGCTCCTCCAGGACCAGACAACCCTTGCCCATGCGAGAAAAAACGGTCCACTAGCCTATTTACCCTTGACGTTCTTGATCCAATCTGTCAGAGGCCAGCCCTTCCATCTCAGCAGCGCAAAGAACAGCACCGCAAGAGCTGACTTGGTCAACAATCCAGCCCAGCCGGGAACATCATTGCCGTTCCTGTCAAACGGCACACTGGTTTTCGCGCCTGTAGATTTCACCATGGCCACGGCCTTCTTATTGGTATAGGGTGCGTAGCGGACCTTGAGAAGCAGTTCCAGCCACGCAGGGACGTTGACCACGGTTCGCAGGTGCGTGAACTCCTTGAAGCCAAAGGGGCCGTGGTATGCGCCCATGCCGGACGCTCCCACGCCGCCAAAAGGGGCATCCTTCACGAGCATGTGCAGGATGGCGTCATTGAAGCACACGCCCCCAGAGCTCGTGAGGCGCAGGATCTTGTCCTTTTCTGCCTGCGACGAGGTGAAGCCGTACAGGGCGAGGGGATGATCGTGCTTGACGGTGTAGTTGATGGCCTCTTCGAGGGTGGCGTCGAGGATGGGCAAGATGGGGCCAAAGAGCTCCTCGGAGAGGAGTGAGTCGTCGGTGGTGACGCCGTCGACGACGGTGGGGCCGAAGAAGCGCGTCTCGGGGTTGCGGTCGCCGCCGTAGACGATTTTGCCCTGCGTCTTCTCGAGGAGGTTGTCGAGCCGCTTGTAGTGGCGCTCGTTGACGATGCGCGTGGCATAGGCGGGCTGGCGGGATTGGCCGGAGCGGTATTCGTCAAAGTATTTGCTCAGGGCGGCGATGAACTTTTGCTTGACGGATGGATCCACAAAGACGTGATTGACGCCGACACAGATCTGGACGCTGTTAGCCACCTAGGCCTTGTCGAGACTCGGGGCGCTTGAATGCACCCACCTGTCCGGCGTTCATGAATTTGGCATTCGCAATTCTCTTGGCGGCGAGATCAATGTCCGCCGAGGGCGTGACGATGGCAGGTCCTCGTCCGCCCAACTCGAGCGTCACCGTGGTCAGATTCGGCGCGGCCTTGGCATAAATGATCTTGCCGACCGCGGTCGAGCCGGTGAAGAAGATGTGATGCCACTTGCGCTCCAGCAAATAATTCATTTGCTTCGGGCCTGCGGTGACGACGCGAATTGCGCTCTGGTCGAGGTACTTGGGCACAATCTCGGCGATGAGCTTCTCCGAGGCGGGCGCCAACTCGCTGGGCTTGAGGATGGCGGTGCACCCCGCAGCAATGGCAGAGAGCATGGGCTCGAAGAGCTCCATGAAGGGGTAGTTCCAGGCTGAGATGATGAGCGCCACGCCCTTGGGCTCCTTGCGGATGCGCGCCCCTCCGAACAGGTTGAAGGGGTCGGTCTGTCGGGGTTTCTCGTCCTTGGTCCATTCCTTGATGTGAGCGAGGGCCTCGAGGCATGCGGATTGGACGCCGGCGACGTCGACGGGCAGAGTTTCCTGACGGTGCTTGTTTAGATCTTGGTTGAGGGCGGTGACGATTCGCTCACGGTTGTCCTCGAGCATCCACCATGTCTTGCGGAGCTGTTTGATGCGCCATTCGAGGGGCTTGGTGACGTTGGATTTGAAGGTGTCGGAGACGGTGTTGAAGGCCTTGACGACATGTTAGATGGGTAAACTCTGCAACGAGCCATGGTGACCTCGAGGACGGGAGAATACCTCGTCGACCTGGGCCTCGGAGCTGTACGACATTTTCGCCCCGACAATGATGATTGTTTCGATGGCTGCGCGCGCGCGGTGTTGCAAGAGGGGCCGTTTGCCCTTGTCGGGAGGCGAAGTGGTATTTATCCGAAGCCCAGGGGAACGGGCGCAACAATGCTGGCCTGGTGCTGACACATACTGAGCGGCCTCGCTGCGGCCGATGGAGGGCAACAAACGGCATGGCCGTGGAGGCTGGACACGGGAGGCTTTCTCCACGAGGCCTTCTCCACACGAGCTTGATTCGATGCCTCGGTTGGCTTTTGGGACTCGGGAGGATCGAGGCGGCGGGCTTGGAGTGTTGTTCCGCCTTCCGCCCCCGCATCGACAGAGATCAAGATGGCCAGTCACGTGCCGACCCCTGTCCAGGCCGGGTGATTTCGACCTCGCCGCACCCACGTGGAAATTTCTGCGGAGATTCACACTCCGTACTCCGTACGCAGATATCCGATTCATCCCATGCAGCCCTATCCGGAGGACGCCGTTGGCGAGGCACAGCCGCGCACCGACACAGTTCTAGGAACTTGCGACACCCCGATGGGTCCGATGGGGAGCCAGTGCCCTCGCCTCGATTTCCAACCGAACGCCCGAGTGGCAGCAATGACTACAGCACGCAGGCACTTCTCGGGACAGCTGCAATCCAGAAAGGTTGCAGCCACCACGATGTCCTCACGGGCCACCCAAGGGCCCGGGCATCTTGGCTTGGTGCCTCAGTCACCCGGGTCAGGTTACACACGCAGTTATCTTGTTGTGAATAGCCTTCGTTGGTACCACGTATCCTCCACGGCTCAGCGCAGTCATCATCGTCTTTCCCATGGATGACAGACGGTGAGTCATGCTGGAACTAGGTCAGCTTGGTGAGGAGAGGGCTGGGCATTCTCTACGTCCCTTGGGTATTACTATTACTGGAACTGGGAACTGGCGATAGGTGGCGGCGCTTGCAGAAACACCCTCGGTGCAGCACAGATCCGCAGGTGGACGGCACGGCGTAGGGAGCATTGGTGATCCACCTGAGAATGAGAGCGACTTGGTATTGCGACTGGCATGGCCTTTGGACTCAAAGCTATGTACAAGGTCAATCCAGACCGCTGTGCAGTTGTAAGCTGGCTACGTGCGGCCGCCATTTCCGACCCCGTGGCACCGCTGGCCATGGTCGACACAGTCCAACCTGGTCTTCCGTCTAGCTCTATGGGAATAATTAGCAACCAAACTGGTGCGGCTGACCTCGGGGCGAGACGACTTACGCAGGTCTAGACATTGGGTCCAACACGGGGCTTGATTAGCAGGCATTTCTTGTAGGGTTGATTTTGCGGTGGCTCAGATACTCACGCCGATTTGCTTTGACGAGTTAGCATCATGCTTGTTGTTGCGACAGCAAGCAGGTCACATGTAGGAGGTACGTACAACATGGGCAGTGATTCCAGCAAAGCTGACGTCGCCCTCACACCTGGGTTTGCTGACGCATTTGGGGGGAAAGGTCACAGAGTTTCCAATGGCAGAGACGATGCCACAGGCCGAGCCTTTAGCGCTTGGACAAGCCGGGGCTCTGGGAAGGAGTGATGCAGAGGCGGCAGCAATGAGGGAGAGGACGACGGCGAACTGCATATTGGCAACTTGCGCGTGTTGGAACCAACAGTCCAAGTGCTTTGGCTGTGGATGTCTGGCGAGACGGAAAAGACAAAGGACTATATGATGTGGCAGGGACTGAGATACGGGCCTCGCGGAGACAAGACAAGAACAAGGCTCTGTGTGGGCAGTGACGCTGTCGGCGATATCAAAGGTCCTTGGTCCGGACGGGACGGTTGAAAGCAAAAGAGGCTCTATTTATAAGGCTGCGAGTGCCACAAAGACGACGAGTCTTGAATCCGGCTCGAGTGACCATCCGTGTAGACGTTTCTGGACCAGTCCTGCCTCGTTTGTGAGACAGACGAGCAGACGGCCACAAGGACAGATGCCTTTCATGCTGGTCTCACAGCATGACCAGTTTATTGTGACTTCTCATTCGACCATGGGCCACGGGAAGCGTTCGCGCATGTGATACCACACCCGAGTTCCATTAGTTCCTCCAGAAAAGTCCTCCAACTCGCGTGATGTCTAGGTCCGCAACTGTGTCCATTATGCGAGCATTCCGCCACAGCACTGCGCTAACCGTGAGGGAACCGATTTGGCGCAAGCGAGGGCTAGCATCTCCGACTCGAGAACCATCAGGAGCCGCGTCCAGACATCGAGTCCGTAACGTTAACCTGCCGACGGGGCGGAACTTTGACGGCAACCTTCCCCGCACGCGGGTTGACTCGTCATGGTTGCATCCAAGGTTGCCTTTCTTGTCCCGCCACCCGGCGCCATGCCGACGGTTGTTGCGAAATGTCGTGCGACGCTTGAGCCGTCGAGTCGACACGCGAGGGCGGGAGACTTGGCTCGAACGCGGTGTAGTATCCTGCACTGCTAGGGGGGGGGGGTTGCTTGGCTGCAAAGAAGAAGATCGAATGCATCCTTTTGTAAACAAAGGGCACCCAGCTCCGCACGTCGAGACTCGCGATATTACATCCGACGGGTTAGCTCGGGATGTCTTTGAAGCGTCACCTTGCGTGGTTCCCTGCCTACGACAATACCTGGCACCCCCCGCCTGTTGTTCTGTCCGGACTCTCTTGGCCTCGATCGAGAGCTCGTCTTACTCAAAGACATGGTCATCTACTCATCGTGTAAGACGTCAACCATGGGCTGAAGTCTTGCCGCCCGCTTGCAAATCGCTCCTTGTCGAGGTGGTGACTCATGACTTCTGGACAGAGATGGGGTCAAGACCAAGCTTATATTATATTCAATACCCTAGGCAGCTGGCCGAACTAGTCATATAACTAGCACCAAGCTTATATTTCTTTGAGAGAGACAACATTACTCCAGCAGATATTACGCTAGCTATCGTTTGCAAGCGGGATGTCCTGGGCAGCAAGCATCGGCCAGTCTCGCCCCTGCCGCCAGACAAGCCTACCCGGATTCTTGTTCAAATTCGTCGACTCTGCCGTGGCAAGCAAGATGCAAGTGGTCGATTCGCTTAACAAGCCCCCGTGTGTCAAAGCCCCCCGGACACTTCTTCGCGTCATGACGGCGTCCTATCTGCGTAGTTGCTGCTGTATAATATGGCTTGCCTGTCATTACCAAGGCTGTACCCCGGACCAAGACGGCCAACAGGTCCTCAAGGAACTTTCTCGACTCCAAAGAATGCCAATTGACTTTGGCGCGCTCTCCCTGAGGGTGAATGAATCAACGAGGCGAGTGCGGCTCACGCATCCGTCTTCTATTCCGGCCAGCTGCGCCCTCATGTGCACCGAGAAATACGTCCCCTATTTCTTCAATGACTAAACTTGTTTCTCCGTCATGGAGACGAACGCCTCTGCTGCGTCTCACACAGCCAATGTTGCGTCGCAAGACACTCCATGGCATCGTCTCCAACAATGAGGCAGCTAAATACCCAGCCTTTCGCTGGCCATCCTAGCACCGGCTACTCTGTTGGCTATCTTCTGGAAGGCAATGTCTCTGGCCAAGTCTGGGCTCCCATGCTTCGGCTTGCTGTCGATGGAGAAGGGCGAGAAGCCGCAGTCATCCGTGGCACCCAACTGGTCAAGGGGAATATACTGCGACGCCACGACCAGCTGATGGGCAATCTCTTCCGGTGTCTCGATCCGGGGGTTGATGGGGCTGACGACTCCAACGAAAGCAACCTGCTTCACGCCGTCGGCATCCTGGCGAATCGACTCCCCAATTGCCCTATACACCGACTCCCTGTCCCCCTCGCTCGACACCTGGATGAGGAAGTAACCGGCGTTGATGTTGAAAAGACTGGCAAGAAGCTGATGGTAAGGGACCTCGGCTGAGTGAGTACTATCGCAATCACCGCCGGGACAAGTGTGAAGACCGATATCCCTCCTCTGTTCTGGTGAGAAACGCGCCAGGACCTGGTTGATCAGGTCGACGAACCGGTCGAGCAGCGCAGCGCCGGTCCAGGGATTCGAAGCATCGTTTTTGAGCGCCAGCCTGCCCTCGGTGAAGTCAATACTCACTCGTTGGGCGCCGGCGCCAAAACAGCCGCGAATGTCCTTTTCACATTCGTCCACCAGATCCCGTACAAACGCGCTCCTCGGATAGCCCTCGATTTCCCCCTCGAGCGGATACAGCAGGTACAGCATGGACGGCGAGATGACAGCCTGCTTCAGTCCCCGCGTGGCGTACGGCGCCGACTTTTCCAAATTCTCAAAGGCGTAGGTGGCATACTTGAATGGCCCCGATATCAGACGCGGCAGTTGGCGAGAATGCCCGTCGTCGAAGACGCCAACCATTTGGCCGTCTGCCGCAAAGTTGGGCCCGAGTCCGCATCCCGTCAGGGTTCTGGATGGATATGCGTCAGTCCCACCGTTCTGCTGCAAGAGGGGAGGGCAACGCAACTCAATGAGCGGATATGTGGCGAAGCTGCTGACTCTCTGCTCGCCGTCAGTGACGAGCACCTCGCCAGTCGCCTCCAGTCGCTGGATACTGTCTTTGGCGGCTCTGTCCTGCGCAACGCGGAGCTCGTCACGAGACACACGTCCGGCGTCGAAGTCGGCAAAGGCCTGTTGAAGGTCTGCGAGGAATGTCAGGGCTTTGAGACGCCGCACGACTTCCGACAGCTCGTCACATACAAGAAGGCCGCGGGAGGGACCCTGAAGAGAAATTTAGCGCGCCACTCGGCTTACAGGGACGGCTCTGCAACTGACGTACCGACGATTTCTGTTGGAATGGGCATCTTGAATCTGGGTACCTTGACCCGGACTTGGGTAAAGCAGTGTTGAGGCCAGAAACACCAGAACAAAGCCCTTTAAGTGAAGTCGTCAGGAGAGAGAGAGCGAGAGAGAGAGAGAGAGAGGGCCACACTGACTTGTCCCTTTCCACGCTGCTTCCCCTCATTCCTGCTGCCAGCTTGCTACCAGCCGTTCGTCTGGGAGGTGATGAGACTCCATTGGTCTGATCATTGATGTCGGCATGCGGGTCGCTCGAAAGAGGCTATCCCAGCCTTTTGTTTCGGATTGGTTAGATGGCAGTGAAAGAGTAAAAGAGTGGCGGCGCGGAACGTGTCGCAGACGATGGACAAACACATGCTCAACTGCAACTCGACGCAACTGACGACGGCACGGCTGCTTCCGCCAGCGGCCTCATGCAGAAGGCCTGCGGTGTTGACCGCGTTAGCTGGCCACGGTCAAGAACGGAGAGGTTGGTCTCGCTGTTCAAGACGGTTATACTCGCCGTCGCAGCTGTAGAATAACGGCAACAGAGAAAGCCTTTTGTTCAACGTTCAAACCATGCAGATGATTGACAGGGATGACCCAACGCCACAGCCAGCTCGAATTGCTTTTGAAGTGACATGTCCTCGCATATGATGGACGGGGTTATGACGAGTTTCTCAGTCGTGTCTCGGAACGCACTCCTCTGTCACGCGACACTCCAATCGTGCTGTCCCAGCTGGCAGCAACAAAGGGAAAGCAAATCACAATACGGAGTAACAGACGTGTCTTGGACAACAGTCCCAGTGTGGCCACAGCTGCTCGTGTAATACACTGCGAGACGACCGCGAGTCTGATAATGACTGTCTGGCAACCAGGTTTAAGATTCGTGTCGCACCTAGACCCCTAACGGTTCACTGGGACTTCTCCTCGGTGGCTTGTGATAATGACATCCGCGGCGTCGATCATGAGCTAGACGCTAGATGCATCAGTTGGAATAGTACGCAGCTCAAGGGCGATCGTCGCACGGAATACTGCGTACGGAGCACGGGTGGGAATATCACCTCTTTCTGCGTGGCAGCAACCAATGAAACCCTGCTTTTCATCATGACCTCTACAACAATCTCTGCATATGGTGAGCATCACACAGAGGAGTAGTAAGCTGATGCATGGTGGCTGGCAGCGCAGGTGTGCGTCACTCACATCACCGACACTGAACCCCGTGGTGAAACTCTTGGTTAGGGCCAGTACCCGAATTCGCATGGCCCTGCACTTCATTAGCGCCCGAGTGACACGACACGATGCAGCAACGGTTGCTGAAATGTCGATACAATTCGATTGGTGTTTCGGCAAGGGTGTGTGTGCCCAATGTCCGACTCCCCAAGGTCGTGCGCAGCGTCAGCAATAACGAATTAGTTACTCGAGTCGTGCCCTGGAAAGACGGACAAAGTCCAGGTGAATAACGACCAAAGGCGCAGGTTTCCAATTCCAAGACTTCGGGTCTACTGCCCTTACAGTGCGCCGAGTTTCGGAGACGGTAGCTCTCCTATGCATGAACCTGGGTGAGCATCTCTCTTTGCGTTGCCGTATGGGCCTGTCGTATCTGATTGAATATCAGTGAAGCTAGGCAGCTACGGGAGGAGTATGAAATAGGCTTTTGTGAGACTATTAGACGGCGTGGCTCCGAAAGATCAGTATGTTACGCTCCAAGACGCCTTTCTTGCTCGATAACCTCAGCCCTGCAGTGGTGGTTGAGTGAAAACTCGGCCCATGACATGCTGTGCTGGATGCCGCCTTGTTGTCGTCCGTGGCCTTTCTGCCATCCGCTCGCGATATCTTTCGCGATGAAACTCCCGTGTGTTGGATGGACCGTGTTCTGGGCCATGCACCTGCACATGAGCCAGCTCTCCAATGGTCCACCAATACACCAGAGCCATGTACAGCTTACGTCCACTGCTTTGACAAGGATATCATTGGTTAGCCGCTTCATTCCGAGGTTTAGCTAGATCCCGACAATGCTCAACCCCTCTGCAAACTCACGGCCTGGTTCAATAAGTCGATTTGCCTCGTGCCTGGTGTCTTTTCCTTCGCATGACACCAACACCAAGGCGTCACAATGTCCTCCATCCGGTCGATTGCTGTCACCATCGCCAATAGCCTCCCACTGCAGCTTCCAAGTCTTTTGATAGCTCTGCTGTCCCGAGAAAAGTAGTTGTTTGTCAGCGCTTATGAACTGACCACTCCTCCACGGGCTCTTATACCTGTCAGAGACCTTGAAAAATATTTGGAGAGAAAAAAAACCACGCAGACTCGTTGAAGAAAATGAGGGCTGTGGATGTTGTCTCTGGCCGCCTGTTTTTGCCAAGTCGTTGCGTGACGCCCCTGCAGCGACACATGACGCTCTTCAGCCGCGAGAACAAAAATAGGCCTTGAGTAAGCGTCTAATTGATCGGGTCATCCTCGATACCCACCCTGCCTCTCGCTATTCCACGATTCCGTGTAGATTGTAGTTAGATTGTTTCGGCCTGGATGGAATTGAGTTTCTTTTCATTGTTGCAGTCGCTCCCAACGGTGCCCCGCAAGACCCCTACCCGTAGCACGTGACCGCAAACCCGGGCTGGACGAACCAACGTCCAACTTCAGCATCGCGACGCTCGCCCGTCCGGTTCATCCCAGTCTCAACCACGACTCGCATGCGATCCGCCATTCTCCCACCGCCATGTCTCTTCGACGCTGCCGCGCACACTTCCCCCGGGCACGCCATACCATCCGTGCCCTGACGCCCTCGCTGCGCACCTACGCAACCGAATCAACGACTGAATCCGCCCAAGCCCCGTTGCAGGAATCTTCGCCGCCGCGATGGAGCCAGACGCCCGCGGGCATGAAAGCCCCCATGCAGCTCGACTTTGCAAAGTCGTTCAAAAACAAAATCTGGAAGGTCAACAACGACCCCGCGAAGCTGGACAACATGTACAACCGGCTGCTGGGCCCAGGCGGCAGCAAGATGCTGCCCGAGGAGCTGAAATGGCTGGCGGTCACGCACAAGAGCTTCGACCAGGGGAGGAGAGGGTTCAACGACAAGCTAGCACTGATGGGTACGTCGCCACCCGGGGGGCCGCCGAGTCCTCGGGTGTCAACGGTGATTGACGCTGACCGAACCGCTGACCAGGCCGATTGACGCTCGTCATGGAAGCGACCAAGGAGATTGTCAGCAAGCCCCCGCTGCGAGGGTCACGGCAGGCAGACGAATTCGACAGAGCGCCCTTTGAGCACGAACAGCTCGCGCCCGTGGACAACCTGAGCGTCGAGGGACCAAAAGACGTAGTCGGCAAGGAGAAGCTGTACGCGCTCGCGTCGGACGTGGGCGTGCTGGCCGTTCTGCGGTGGAAGCCCAGACTGGTGCGCTCTGCCCCCCCCCCTCTTGGCAAAGCGCGGCACTGCCCATGCGGAAACTGACCAGGCGCAGCCGGAAAACCTCAAGTCGTCAGGCGTGGAAGTCGTCGTCAACGGGGCCGTCCTGGCCATCCTCGGCGCCATCACACTACAGCACGGGTCGGTGGTCGCGTCGAGGGTTGTGCGCGAGAGAATATTCGCGCGACTCGCAAAGATCGACTAGTCACTTGGTGGGCGAGGCGGCAGCGACGTGTATTCATACCATGCATCTTGTATTTTAGAGCAAAGCCACGCTAGACGTTGTATCATCAACCCGACGGACCAACATGTGAAGAGAAGTCCAACTTGCCATGCGCACGCTGAAAAAAGAATAAAAGTAAAAGTCAAGTCGATAATAAATGGACCACGCCGCCACCCCCCGTGTCTTCAAACCGGCAGCAACACGCCCCAACTTGGCCGCACGCTCACCGAATCAGCGGCGTCTGCTCGCCTCCATCCCCGCGCTCCCCGTCGTCGACCTGCTCCAGGAGCCGCGTCGCAAGGTCAGAAGTAATCAGTTTCTCGCGATACAGCCACCCCAGGGCGGTGCCGGCGCCGGGGCCCAGCACGAGGGACGAAAGCACCATGGCAAGAGGCGCCCTCCAACCAACCTCGGTAAACACCCAATACAGCATCGTCAGCCCGACGAACTGGCTATCAATCTCGATGAGCCCGACCGTCGAGCGGGTCACCTCCTGGCGGTCGTCGGGCCGCGCCAAGTTGCCGACGACGAAGCCGTGCGCGAGCAGCGAGCACGCGACGGGCAGCGCGTACACGGCGACGCAGGCGCCGGCGCTCGCTTCCATGTGGACCGTGGGCCCGTCCCGGAACCGACGCAGCCCGCTGAGCCCGCGGCGCACGAGCTGCCTGATGAGCGAGACGTACGCCGGGAAGAGCAGCCAGGCCCCGATGGCGGCGGGGTCGTTCAGCGACAGCATCAGCGTCGACGGGACGTAGTAGCCCAGCGCGACGGCGACGGGAATAGCAACCGTCTCCACGAGCTTGACCTGCCGCCCCTTGCCGGCCTCCGAGGCGTCGGGCCGCTCGCCGTCACCGTCACCGTCACCGTGGTCGTCGACCGCGGGCAACGGCCACGCCTTGGCGCCGAGGATAAAGGCCGGCGCGTACACGAGCTGCCAGAGCAGCGCGCCGCCAAGGAGGTTGAAGACGAGCCACGGAAGGGTTGGTCTGGAGACGACGGCGTTCTTGGCGTTCACCCTGCGGGCCGACTCGACTGTCGCGACGGTCAAGAGAGCGCCGACGTAGGACAGGACGACGGACATGACGGCCCTGCTGCGGGTGGAGTCGAGGGCCGCGTGGAGGAAGCTGACGAGGAAGCAGGCCGGCGTGCCGAGGAGGGGGACGCGACTGAGGGCCGGGAGGAGCGCGTGCGAGTGGCACTGCGACCAGAGCAGCGCGGCATTGACGTCGGAGTGGATGAAGAGGGCGACGGCGGTGGCGGCGGCGAGGAGGGCCGGGACGATGGCGAGATGGGGGAATAGGGGGAAGTGCTGGGCTGGGCGGCGCCAGCGGGACTGTGGTGGCATCTTGGCCTTGAGCGTCGGTGGTCGTGCCGGTGGGACGCGAGGAGCGAGGGCGGTGACGGGACGAGAGTCGGCGACGGGGTCAGAAAATGAAGCCGAGGCGAGAGCGATGACTGGTGAGCACCGGGTCTAGTCTGGTGTTGACTGGCGACGAAGCCGGCCGACGGCGCGTCAACTGGCTGGCAGCTGGGTCCAGACGTCAACGGTCCGTTGGGCGGTTGGCGGTGCGGTGCGGAGCGAGTCTACAGCCGTGGCCCCACTAAAGGCCGCCTGTAGCGCAGCTGTCGCAGAGCATACGAGGTGGGCCACGCCCAATTTTTGGACAGGGTCACAGGGTCACAGGGTCACAGGGGGGGCGGGGACGGGCGCGTGTCCGGCTGCCGACTTGGACCACGAGACGAGCGCGCGTGAAAGACGATGGGGCCGCGGGTGTGCAGTGTCGGGCGACGTGGTTCGGAAAATAAACGGGTGCGGACCCTGGTTGGTGTCTTGATGCCGCGCCGCCCTTGGCCCCTTGATGTTCAGTTGCCTGGGAGGCCGTCCTTGACAGACCAAAGGCGCCGAGGCTCAAATCGTCAAGTGCCTGCGCTCAACGGTGTCCGTTGGATTATGGGAGCAATCCGTGAAGGGGACTGCTGGTCTTTCCAGTCTCACTCACGCAGCACACTCTGGCGTTGAAGGTCTCTGGTTGCCCACGAGGTGCCTGCAGCCGCGGGCTTTGCAGCAGCCTTCTGCCGTGGGTGAGTGTACATGTCCAAGTCCCGTGAGCAGTCGGCGCCGCGGATCCGAGTGACACTTCGGGATAAAATACGGGGTCCCGCTCGGCGTAATCCGAGCGGCTTCGGCATGGAGTGGGCCCAGGCCGACGCGCCCCGCTCCGCAGGCCTGGGCAAGTCCAAGACGGAGTAAGCGTTTCTTGCCCGTCTCCCATCTTCTTACGCCAAGCTCGACGACCAAGGTCATCGACGGGAAGAGGCAAAGACGCAGGCCGGCCTCGCCGCTGCTCAGCCAAAACGGCAAGCTGCCAGCGCCAAGGAAACAAAAGTCGGCCAATCGGGAGGATTCTCCTTGGCATTGTGGATGACTGCTCGCCTCAGCATTGTCACCGCTGCGCTTTTGAGTCTTGTCTTTCTGGCCCCTAGGCTGATTCCTTGGCTGGGCCCGAGCCCGAGCCCGACTTACGCATTGCCGTATGGAGAGCACTCAGCCCAAGGCACTGCGCCGATTTCGGCGTCGTGTACGGCGTCACGCCGGCTGCATGTGGTCGTGTCGAGAATCGTGGTGACTTCTCTACAGGTTGGCGAACAAGTCCCTGCCCGCGGTCCATGTCGTCCAAGGGCGTGGTCTTGGAGTCCAACCTTGCTGGTGGTCGGTCACTGGTGGTGCACACGAGCTACACGCTCCGCCAACCTGATGGTGGACTTGTTCCTCATTGATTCCCGTGCACACTGCCGCGCCTTGGACCTGATTGATGCGTTCTAATCGTCCCGCGGCGGCCTAGTGGCTCTGCGGACGTTGCCGCTCGTCACGACACCATATCGTCTGCCCAGAGTACTTGTCCAATGAACTACATGCTCCTCCAAGGCCCCTCGATCGGCTCGTCTCGTTACATTGTCCCAACAGGGTGACGAAGCTCCGTCGAGAGGTCTGCGACTCTTGCCACCGAAAACGCCCCGAGCGCCGTAGACATTCCCACGCGCCTAGATCTTGAGCGTCGCAACCCCCTGCTCGTGCAGGGCGGTGATATAATCCTGCGCCGAGTCCACTTGCTTAATCTTGCCGGTGCACTCGTCCAGGTGCAGCCAATCCGTCCCATTGTAGGTGATGTGCGTGCCTTCTGGCTTGGCGCTGGATTTCAGAGCCGTAGCCGTCCTCGTCAGCCGTCTTTCGCCGCTTCGTTGTGTCCTCGCAGCCAGAGCATGGAACGAGGCGCGGGGCCGGCGGGTGGGCACTTACACGGGAATAAGCATCTTGTCGCGCGGCCCGACCGTCGCGTTGAGAGCCCACCGGATGACGATGCTGTACAGGTCCAGAGCCGTGGCATGGACGACAAAGCCGTAGTGGTGCCAGCCACTGCGAGCCAGCCTCATGAACTTGACAAAGTCGGCGGATGAACGGACGGCCAGGTCCACGGAGCCATTGGTCCCGGGGAGGCGGTCTTGGTGCAGGACGACGCCGGGCGTGAACGTCTCGTGTTCGAGGCCCAAGTCTCCGTTCCACATGTCTATGTAGTTCTTGGCGGATCTCTTTTGAGAGTCGCGGTTGAGAACAAAATTGCACTCGGAGCACGAGGATGCGGAGGCAAGCGAGGTGATTGCCGCCGCCGCCCAGAGGCTGGTGGCGATGAGCATGCTTCTCATTCTCATTCTTGACGTATATTGGCGGGTTTGGTTGTCAAGGAGCAAGCACGCGGCTCTTCGTGTGTCGGATCAGGCTGTCAGACATCAAGGCGTGTTGTGAATCGTGATGCGGGCAACGCATCCTTCCCACCGTCCAGCTCAGACGTCGAATATATATGTGTATTTACGTGGAGGTGGGACCTCGAGGTAGCTTCACTCGACTTTACCACTCGCGCAGCCCCTCGCTGCTGGGCCACAGGAGAGTTGGTAAGCCAAGCAAGTCCCGGCCAGCTAAGCCCGCGTGAGGAATTTGGCGACACGTCACGAGGGGAGTCGCCGCGGCGGTCTTTCTCGGGGCCACCTCGACGCCCGCCGGAAGCTGTTGGTCGGCCTCTCGCGCTCGCGCTTACAGCTCTCACGGCCACGGGCGTCTTGAGCGAGCCGCATTGGGAAGAACGAATGTGCCCAGACAATGATGCGCGTTGCGCGGGCCACATCGTGGACTGGGCATCGGCCGCTGGGCACGAGAAACCCGCCGACGACAGCGTTGGTTGGGCCCAGCGGAACCTCCAGCGTGTGGTGACTGCTCTGGGGAGACGTGTAACTTACGATGAGAGAAAGGCATGTATGCATGGATGTGTGCATGTCTGTCTTGCGAGTTGTGGCATGCCACGCCTCCCAGGCCCGCAGCACCAAGGAGAAGGAGCGCAAGCAGCTTGGACGAACGTGTACGTCGTGGCAAGCCATGGCATGGAGTCATATCTGGCCGGCCCTCGGGGTTCGGTGCCAGGGCGGGGAACCCAGTTGCTGCGCAAACTCATGTGCGTCGCCGTGCCGGGTGCTGGGTGCAGGGAGGGTGCTCACTTGATATGGGACGGTGGGACGGTGGGACGGGGTTCGGTCAAGATTCGCCTCGACTCACTCACTCCCACTCCCTCCCTCCACGACAGGAGCGCGATACGCGACATCGTCCAAGAACGCCCAGCCCAACCGCCGCAAAATGCCGCACCCGCCCACCTCCTTCGATCCGACCTCGGCCGACGAACAAGCGCCGCCGCCTCCCTCCGCGCCCCCCGAGCAGCTCTCCCCCCGAGCCGTCCTCCAGCCGCCGCTCTCCCGTCGCGGCGCCGGCCCCGGCCTCATCCTGCTCCTGCCCGACGAGACGGAGCCCAGCCGGCGCAGGCAGAAGCCGCTGGACCCCGACCCCGTCCAGAAATGGGCCGAGGAGGGCTTCGCCGTCGTCGCCATCACCGGCCCGCCCTCGCCCGCCCACGACATCGCCGACGCAGTCGAGGCCCTGAAGAAGCACGCCGCCGTCGACGCCAAGGACAAGATCGGCATCGTGTCGTACGGCCCCCTCCATCCCCCGGTCCCGGCCCGAATGCCCCCGGAGATCGTGTGCGTCGCCGCCTTCGCCGAGCCCGCCCCCTCCCCGTCTCCCGTCCCCACGTACTTTCACGCATGCGGCGCCCGCGACGGCCGAGAGACGACGGGCACGACGGGCCACGCATCGGCATCCGTGTCCTGGTATCCCAACACGAGGAGGCACTTTGTGCTCCCCGGCTCGGCCGCGTACAGCCCCGCCCCCGCAAGCCTGGCGCATACCCGCAACCTGGCCTTTCTCAAGAAACACATCGGCGGGCCCGTGTTCGACATCGAGGCCGTCTGGGAGGAGCACACGCGCTGGGAGTTTGAGAGGCGGAGCGTGGCCCAGACCATGGCCACCATGGTCGTGCGTGCCCGTCGGCTGCCCCTGCCCGTGTCGCCAGCGCGCTAAGCACAGCATCCAGGCCGAGCCGTACGTGAACCACGTCCCGACGGTGAGCGAGGCCCACGGCCCACGGCCCCCGGGGCACAAAGGGCGCGCGCCGGCTGACACGTCCAGATGACGGGCGGCATGGGGCGAGAGGCCCTGACAAGCTTCTACAGAGACGACTTCATCTTCTGGTAGCTCGCCCAGCCCGTGTCGTGTTGCCCTGCCCGAGTCTCTGCTGATTCGTGAACCGTGGCGCCGCAGCAACCCGCCGGACACGGCGCTGGCGACGGTCTCGCGAACCGTCGGCCCGGACAGAGTCGTCGGTCGGTGCAGTGTGCTTTCCCGATGGAGCGTCGACGCGCTGACCCGGCACAGACGAGTTCATCCTGTCCCTCACGCACACGTCGCACGTGCCGTGGCTGCTGCCCAACGTGCCGCCCACCCACGCCAGGCTGGCCGTGCCCATGGTCGCCGTCGTCAACGTCCGCGGCGACAGGCTGTTCCACGAGCACATATGGTGGGATCAGGGCACCGTGCTCCGGCAGGCCGGACTGCTGCCGGCCCACGTGCCCGGGCCGGGGGGGGACATGCTCAGACTCCCCGTCGCGGGCGCCGAGTGCGCGAGGCTGCTGGCCGACGAGACGGACGGGACGAGCAACGGCATGATTGACCGAGCAGGGGGGGTTGGGTGCCGAGCGGCGGTTGACGTCGTGGCGGAGACGGCGACGATCAAGGGCAGAACGAAGCGAGCGTGCAAAGTACACGCGGCACGCACGCATGGCCAGTGTTTTCTACAGAGAGCCTCACTCACAATACACAATAACACAGACACTCTCCCGGGGTGGACGGTCCCTGCCTGCTCTGACCGACTATGCCTCCCGCTCCCGGACGTGAGCCCGCCGCCTGTTGACCTCGGGAATCCTGTAGCCTCGATCCCTCTCGGGCCGATTTCTCTGCCAAAAGTCGCTCGCCTCCGTCTCCAGCTTCCTCCGCCTCCTCGGCGCATCCCTGTCCTCGCTCGCCTTGCCCTTCCACCTCAGCCTGCCGCCCAGGTCAGCCGCCCTGATCACCAGGGGCCCCCAGACCTCAAAACACACGCGCCGCGCCAGGTGTCGGCGCCGCCGGTCCAGCCACCGGAAGAAGCGGCGCGCGCTCGTGCTAAAGGCGACGACCAGGCTCGCCAGCACGAGGAACGCGCTCGACGGGAGGGCGATGGCGCCAATCGTCCGCAGCGGCAGGTTGTCCTGCCCCCCCCACTCGCGCGTGTTCATGCCAAACAGGCCGGTGAAGAAGGTGAGCGGGAGGAAGATGACGGTGAAGGTGGTGAAGATCATGACGCTGCGCGACTGCGCGCTTGCCAGGTCGGCGTGGAGCCTGCTGAGGCGGACCTCGTCCACCTGCGCCTGGCGCTGCACCATCTGCAGCAGCTTGTCGTAGTCGTCGCGCGTCGCGCGCACGCGCTGCACCATGTCGTTTGCCTGCTGGGCGTGCTCGCGGAGCCGCTTGAGCGCCTCGCCCAGAAAGGAGCGCCCGTTGGCGGCGTGCTCGCGCAGCTCTGGCCGGCTGTAGGTGGCGTGCATGGACACGAGGACCTTGGACTGGCGCTCGAACAGGTGCAGGAGCGTCTGGAGCTCGTCCTCCATGTCGCGGAGCTCGAGGAGGGCCGAGGTGTTGTGGCGGTTCTCGCGCTCGGCGCGGCGGCCCTCCTCCTTGTGGCGCTTGCGGATGCTGCGCGCGCCGTCGTCGACAGGCTCGTAGTCGAAGGCCTTGTCGCGGAAGCCTTCTGACCGGAACTCCTTGAGGGACGAGGTGAGACGCTCCGTCTGCGCGAGGTTAGACGTTGTTGCCGGGCGGCCAGGCGGCGGACGGTCATCAGTCGTTCGTCCGTGGTGCCGGTGCCGGGGAGCCGGGGGGGGGGGGGGGGGG